CCTTTGGCCTCTCGAGGTACTGCTCTTGGTAATTCTCAGATGTTGCGCCGGACTTCCTATTTTCTCACTCAATGGCATTCTTCATCTTTTCTGATAGATCACACCCCCTCTGACAGTTGTAGCCTTGTACATTAAAACTGTTTTAACTGCGAGTGTCCTCCTTTTAGGAGAAGTGATTATTTTTCACCCCGTCTATTCTTACATCTTTTTATTTCGTGAAGCGGAATGGCCAATTTGCCATCAGTTGCTGTTGGGAGCCCATTTGTGCTCGTTGGAAAAAAAATATGAATTATACATGTATCTGGGTAAATTATAACGACCTCACTGCGACCGAACCCTGGAATCATGGTTAAGAAGAGGAATCATCCCCAAATGGCCGAACTATTCAGGTTATATAGTGAGATATTATAATTTAGCCATATATGTATATATACGTATATATATATATATATATACATATTTACATATATATATATACATATATATATATAACTAGTTGAAATGGTTCCTATTTCATAGGAACACATCATGGCATTTTGTTTTTTTATCAGGACGGTCAACCTGTGACGACTTTCGTGACTCAGAACGGAGAGGATTCCATTCACAGCAACTTGGCGGAACCTGCGCGGCGGATTGCGGGCTGATCCCCAAAAGAGAACTCTGTGGGATACATTTGAGCCATGAAGAAAATAGCCTGGGGAATTGATTGCTATAGGGGATTATACAAGGTGAAAATAATGGCTAACAATGGTTAATAATGGTTAATAATGGTTGATAATGGGATAATGATCTATAATAATCCCATGACGGATCCGGCTGGTGCTGGTAGATTAATGCTAACATGACTGGGGTTTTTGTTGATGGGATCCATGGAGCACCATATATAGCAGCACCATGGATCCTATGGGTAGGGGATTATAGGGGATTATACAAGGTGGTGCCCCAGTTCGGAATCGCTAAGTTGGTGCAAATAAGTCCAATGTCACTATGGTTTTTGTTGGTGATATATCGAACTAGTTAATGGGATTATACTACTAGTACCTAGTTTACTGGGGAATTATCTTACTTGTGCTTAGCAGGGAATTTTCGGGAATGACCCACTGGCTAACTATCAATAATAATTCCAGCAACCCCCATTCCCATCCATTCCCTACGTTTAGCACCAGTAAGTTATACTACCTAGTTTACTGGGGATTATGATAAGCCATAGGGAAACCGTTTTCAACCAACTAGTATAATGAGATGGGATAAGGGCATTTTTAATGGCTCATTTGTGGTTTATATATTTGGGAGGTATATGGAAGAATGGAATGTATATGAATGTATTTAATATACAGTATATGCGTATATATCATATTAAATATATCATATAACCTGGGTTATATGGTATATATATATGTATGGGACGGGATGGGATATTTTATACATATCAAGGATAAATAGTGGGATATATTCAACTAACAGTAACTGACAATATGATAATTGGTGAGATAATCAGCTAGACCCTCACCCAAAATGTATGTTTTCAAGCAGATGTTTGGTACTTTTACCAGTTTTTGATGGGCACTTGAGTCGGGTCGGACTTAGGATCATTCCACTTAGTCATCTTAGTCCCCGATTCTTGGGTTATCCCATCTATAAATGGTTTAATGGTTCTTAACCACTTTCTACCCTCTGGTAATTTAACGTAGCTATTGAAAATGACCATTAATAGTGGATTTTCCCATTAAACATGGTGATTTTCAATAGCTATGTTAAATTACCAGAGGGTAAGTGATATGATCCTCCAGGTGAGACAATCCATGTCGACAATGTGCCTGTGTAGTCGACAATGTGGTGATGTAGTCACCCTTTCTAAGAAAACCATTCCAAAAAAGAGAAAATCAAGATACCCTCTGGTAATTTAACATAGCTATTGAAAATCACCATGTTTAATGGGAAAATCCACTATTAATGGCCATTTTCAATAGCTATGTCAGCTATTACCAGAGGGTAATCCAAGGGTATTTTGCGGCGCCCTATTTTTTAAATGACGTGTGCTGAGGGATCAATTTGATGGTCATATTCTGGACGGTCATTGGGTCATCAATCCATTTTCCAATGGGCTTTGGATTCCCATGATGTTTCGATTCCCATGTTGGGATATAATTTTTGTCGACGCTCGCACATGGTGGTTAGTAGTTTCTATCTGGTTCTATCTATTTTTGGGGGGTTTGTGAGTTCTATTTGGTAATTGGGCTGAGATTGTGCTTGAGCAACAAGAATGGGTGAATTGTAGCGATAAAGGTTGTGGTGTGGTTGGCGGGTTTCTTTATCGAAAAACATTGCACCTGAAAACATGACACCTTGGTTTTGACATACAATAGGAGTACCCTCTGGTAAACTAACAGTTCGCGAACTGGAAAATCAGCATTTTTACTATGCAGCTCAACTATTTCTATGACCAGTAATTATGTAACAAATTACCAGAGGGTAAATCCCATTACATCCCATGGACAATCACAATAAATTACCAGGAAGATCACCGTAAAAACCCATTAAAATCACCATAAAAACCCTGGGATGTGATGGGATTTGCCCTCTGGCAATTTGTTACATAGCGAACATGGTCATAGAAATAGTTGATCGACATAGTAATTTTATGGTGATTTTCCAGTTCGCGAACTGTAAACGTTTACCAGAGGGTATATGATATAGAGGTTGATACAGTCTAGTTGGACCTTGGATGTTCATTCCCGAATTTGGAAATGTATGATGGCAACATATGGCAAGCTGTTTCCGGAACTGAGTTTTTCCTGTTATCCGAATCCATTTAATAATGAACCATCCTTCAATTTATTTCCATGATATGCCCGTAACTATAGTTGATTGTTTCCCAATTGATCCCATTATCCATCATTCTCCATCATTCTCCATCATTATCCATCATTTTCCATATTTTATCCATCATATCCATCATTATCCATCATTATCCATCATTATCCATCATTATCCATCATTATCCATCATTACATTGCTGGTTGGTGGTTTATCTTATCCCTATGAGTTATCCATACATGTTTCCACATATATATATATATATTCCATATTTATATTTTTCCCATTTTCCACATATATATATATATATGTATTTAAATTATCCTGAACTATGATATACATATAACTATAGATACAATGTGAGGCCCCCAAGATATAAGTTGGTTTAGATTCGCCCCAGTAACTAGTTCGTTGTTTGCATACCATAAACCATAGTGACATTGGAGTTATAAACGCACCAACTGAACGCTATCGACTGGGAGCCTCACATTGTAACTATGGTTTCATAACTATCATTATAACGATGCCATGAGTGGATGCTTTTCACGTTGCTGTTGTCTACGAGGCTTGCGTTGTCCCATCGAACATCGCTTGGTCTACGAGCTCTGCAAGGCCTTGGTTCATGGAATGGGGAATGGAATGGGTAACGACTTGACCCATAGCCATGTGGAAATAGCCCAGTTATATATTTAATATGATATATTATATATATATCCAATTTTTATATATATATACATATTATAATATATATATATATAGTTATTATAATTGTCTATAATTATTATAATTGTGATTATACATATATATATATATACACACCAGGCATGGGTTAGTAACCACCAAATGGGACGCACTGATGCTCAAGGGGCTAGAGGTGATTGGTACCATGCAAACACTTTGGTTCATCCGTGCTTTGGATTGGAAGATGGGGAGTATCAAAAGGCAAGATGCATCGCACAGAAAAAACAATTGCCTGCGATTTGTTTTTTATTTTGGATGCCCTCACACTGAACGTTGTCTTGTTTTTTCCTGCCAAAACTGAGTTCCAATATTTTTTGCGTGGCCAAACATAGATGAACCTTGAGGATGTCAGCCATCCGTTGTGCCCAGGCATTCTGGTATCGTAAAACCTGATCGTCCACACATTTTTCATCAGGTGGTAATCCCAATGCCATAGTCACCATCCCCAATGGAGGTGCCAATGATTGGGTTTACCACATCATTTACCCTTTGGTTATTTAACGTAGCTATGGAAAATGGCCCATAGAAATAGATGATAAACATGAGGATTTACCTATTAAAAATGGTGATTTCCCAAATGGTGATTTCCCAGTTTGCTACGTTAAATAACCAGATCATTTATTTGCTGATTCTCATCGTGGCAGGATTTCTGGTGTTGGAGATGCAGAAAACTCACAGGTCCATATTAGTGAACACCCATGGACCAACATCCAAGATAAATCTTCGGAAATGCGCTGATTTCTGACTGCATTTGTTCGGGTATGTTCGGGTTGATGTACCAACCAACTTCGATCTTCTATCAGCACATGTCATGTATTGAACAATATCCATTGTGCCCAGGCCTCAACTGTTCCGAATGATGATGATGACAACTCGGGACATCTCGAAGAAATGCAATGGTCACATTTCAAAGCCCTGGGACCTACAGAGTTTGGTAAGTTTTTGTGACCAACCAATTCGAATTTTGGGAGTAGCCTCCAGTAATCAAACATGGGTTTGTCTGAAAATAGGGTATATTCCCAATTATAGCCATTTAATAGGGATAATGATCATTAACCATTGGGTTTAGGGGTACACTATTTTCAGACACACACACACATGGCTAGCTGGGAACCCCCCTCAATTTGATGAAGGTTTCTAGCTGGGAAAATCCCTCAAAGATGCCGCCGGAACTGGAAGTCACACGCAAAGGTATGGTAGACTGCAAAGCAAGTATGATAGCACTGCACTTTATTTGTCAATTACTGCAATATTTTGATTCATATCAATATACGATAGGTCAATATAGATGTCCATAGATGTCCATATAGATATTGTGATGAGTTGCCACACAATGTTACTTTCATATCAAATCATTACAGTATCCCAGGATTATTTTCATATTCCTAGAATGAGACATGAGAAAGGAAATGGGCCTTTCTTCATCCATCTTCGTCCCCAAAACACTGGCTGTGTTGAAGAAGTTGAACTTTTTGTCCACTGCCATGGCGTTTGTTGAAGGCACTGGGGGGTCGGTTTGCACCGTTAAGAGGGGGCACAGTGTCTATGGGTAAACCATGGCAACATGTTAGGCAACCCATTGTTTGATGGGTTTATTGTCTATAGTTCATTGATACAAGATGATCTTTTCGTGAGTGGGTTATGTAGCACCCAGTCTGAAATCTGAAACCTGTGGTTGCAGGCTATCTAAGATTAGCCATGATAGGAAGCCGTTCCACTCCCACCATACTACGGGGTACGAGGGGGGAGAATTCAATCGGACTCAACAATCAAAATCTGGTTGGTGGTTTGGAACATGAATTTTACTTTTCCATATATTGGGAATAATCGTCCCAACTGACTCTCGTATTTTTCAGAGGGGTAGGTCAACCACCAACCAGAAATGGTGATGAGTGATACAACATCGCTGCAACCCTGACGTTTTTCCATGCTGATTTTTGCATATCCGAGATGAGATGCTCAAATCCCTTCGCAGGGCTAGCGTTTTTTTAACTGTCCAAAGCAATAAACCCTAAAACACTGAAACCCTAAACCCAAAAATCATTAAAACCCCAAAACCCAAAATCCCGAAACCTCAAGTCAAAATGTTCTGCTTACAGTGTTTTCGTTCATCCTCTTGTGACAAGTATATTATGATACTGTCCGGGTGTGTCATGTGGATACGGAGAAACGTCTTGGTTGGGGAGACGATGTTTAAACCATATACCATCTTGTTATTTAACATAGCCGTGGAAAATCACCATGTTTAATAGGTAAACCATCTATAAATGGGCCATTTTCCATGGCTATGTTAAATAACCAGAGATTATATATATATACAGGCTGTATATGTATATAGTACGAGATAAATGAGTCAAAGTCATAAGTATTAAGCCATTCACCGATGAAGTCAAGTCATAAGTCATAAGTTAATAACTGAGTCATAACTCCCCGATTGGTTGAACCTGGGCTCTGGAGATTTATCAGATTCTTTAGACCCACAAGGATTTCAGAGAAAATCTTCATAGAATTCCAAGACTGTACAAGGTGGTGCCCCAGTTCGGAATCGCTAAGTTGGTGCAACTCCAATAACTATGGTTTTTGTTGGTGATATATCTATAGTTACTGGGATTTTTTTACCCATTTAGAACTTGGGGGGCACCACCTTGCAGCTACAAACCTCCATTTATGGTAGATCTCTCGATTTTAGAGGTTATGATGGTGTGGGCCCCTGGGGTGGGCTGGGGGCTAATAACGTCCTGTTGTTGCATCCGCATAGACGTGTATTCTCTCAGATGCGTGGCTACGTCATGGGGTGGGGTGGGGTGGGGTGGGGTGCGGGGCTAATAGCGTCCTGTGTTTGCATTCGCACAGACGCGTCTTCTTACGGAATCAGAGATCCGTCACGCTACGGATGGTGCGTTGATTGCACATCTGCACGCTACGCTACGTTGGTAACATGTCTGCACGCTTCGGCTGCTACGTTGATAACATGTTTGCACGCCACGGTTGCTACGTTGGTAACATGTCTGCACGCCACGGTTGCTACGTTGGTTGCACGTCTGCACGCCACGGCTTGGCGAAAAAACTTGGGACACTTGAATACAAAGACTTTCTTGTGGCATCTAACAAATTTTGGTGAAGATCCGAGTAGTTTAATCGCATGTTGCAGAAGAGAAAAAAGGCATTTTTGCAAACATTGAACTCACACGACAAGTAAGGTTTTGCAGCTGATAGGGGGTCTTTGGAAATGGATTCTAGGGTCCTTGGTGATGTAGTTCTACCTCTGATTGTGTGATATATGTTTTCCATTATTTATTCTTTATCTATCTTATCTATCAAGGTAGGTGGCCTTGGTATATACTAGTGAAAATGATCCCAAAGGAAAGATCGTCTTGGGTTAGTGTCCCTTGGATGTTTCAATATTATTAATTCTTATCCTTCTTTCGGTAGTCATGCCAAGATGGGGGTTGATAATTAGTCTCTCCATCCATTTACCCTTCTATTTATGGAAGTGCCAGTCAGGACAAACGATCACCATTCGATCGTAGTTCAGATAGGTTTTTTTTTGGGGTTGGTACTTCGATAAAATATAAAATAAAATATTGTTATGCGACGGATGTGCGGATGCGACGGATACGGGGTCCCCCAAGCCAAAAGATCGGCAATTTTTTTTTCCTAAATCTCAAAATCAAGGACCCCGAATCCTCTGCGGCAAAAATCATGGTAGAATATAATAGTAGGGCTGTTTCCCAAGTCCACATGCCAATTTCTGCACCCTGAGATCGGCAAATTTTTTTTTCCTAAATCCCAGGGTACAACCTCTGTATTGCCCAAGTCTAGGTGCAGATTTTTGCGACCTTACTTAGGCAATACCCCACCAAACACCTAGGATATCGTCAATTTTTTTTTTTCCTAACTCAGGGTGCTGATTTCTGCGCCCTGACTTCGGCAAATTAGCTGTTGGGCATTGCATTTAAAGGATATATGATGTAGATGTAGAAATAATGGGGGAAATTTAGTACTTGAAAAAAATAATGATAATCAGGGATAACATTAACATTGGTGGCTTTATACCAAAGGTATATGGGGGCACCACCCTAGAAAAAACAAGAGCGTGGTTGATACCTTTTCCATTTTGATCCAGCAATTGGTTGGTACCCTTCAGAAATGGTAGTGGACCCCAGTTAATCCAAGGAATATAATAAAATAAAATAACCCTAACCGTTACTGGGATGATATCAATTTAGCCAACCAAGTGGTTGCCTAAGAATGAACATAATAATGCACATAAAATTTTCTATGAGTATGGTAAAAAAACAAATAGTTATATTAAATAACCAATGGTAAGATGATACCCATTTAATCAACCAATTGGTTACCTCATAGGGAAAATAATAAAGTACCTATAATACAATTCAATTCCACTATCATATATTAAATAGTTGGAAAGACCCAAGAATCCATTTCCAGAGAACCCAGATCAATTGCACAACATAGATATAATATATTCTATATTTTATCGAAGTACCCAACCCCCCATAAAAAAAAACTATTTGAACTACGATCGAATGGTGATCGTTTGTTCTGACTGGCACTTCCACAAATAGAAGGGTAAATGGATGGAGAGACTAATTATCAACCCCCATCTTGGCATGACTACCGAAAGAAGGATAAGAATTAATAATATTGAAACATCCAAGGGACACTAACCCAAGACGATCTTTCCTTTGGGATCATTTTCACTAGTATTTACCAAGGCCACCTACCTTGATAGATAAGATAGATAAAGAAATAAATAATGGAAAACATATATCACACAATCAGAGGTAGAACTAAATCACCAAGGACCCTAGAATCAAATTCCAAAGACCCCCTATCGGCTGCATATATTGATATATATATATATACATAAAATATATTTATATTTTTTCAAAGTACCCAACCCAAAAAAACCTATTTGAACTACGATCGAATGGTGATCGTTTGTTCTGACTGGCACTTCCACGAATAGAAGGGTAAATGGATGGAGACACTAATTATCAATCCCCATCTTGGCATGATTACCGAATGGCGGATAAGAATTAACAATATATTGAAACATCCAAGGGACACTAGCCCAAGACGATCTTTCCTTTGGGATCATTTTCACTAGTATATACCAAGGCCACCTACCTTGATACATAAGATAGATAAAGAAATAAATAATGGAAAACATATATCACACAATCAGAGGTAGAACTAAATCACCAAGGACCCTAGAATCCATTTCCAAAGACCCCCTATCAGCTGCAAAACCTTAAGTAGAAACCCATGTAATTGCGATGAATGGACTGCGGACTGCGACATACACATCACCGAAATGTCATTTTGGCCCACGGCGAAATATGAGCCGTGAACCAACTAGTTACTTTACGTTTTTAAACCAAAAACCCAACAATTTGGGAAAATAGAGCCAGCAATGATTGGGAAATTGGGGGGAAACCGCCCCGAACTTAGTGTCTTGGCCCAGGTCAGGCAACCCAAGTGTGTTAGTTTCCATATGTTCAGCCTGGCAAAACTGGGTGACAACGGTTGACTATTGCCCTCTGGTAAATTAACATAGACCCTGAAAATAAGCAATCGTTAGTGGAAACCAGTCTTCCAACCCCGATGACTGCCAGGGTCTATGTTAATTTACCGGAGGGTATATTATATTATATTGACCTAATGTTGGAACTTAAGTGAGTTTCGAAGTTGTCCCTAAGAGTCAAGTATCCCGAGTATCGCCAGGTATTTGCCCTTGGCTCTCCGTTTGCATCAGGGAGATATGTTTGGAAAAGAGAAGTGGGTCTGAAGATAGGGTGCTCCAAACTATCCCAGAGTTCTGCGCAAACCCATTTTATCAACAACTTGTTGATTATATCATGTCATACATCCTATACCATTGTATCGCCAACATATCCCAGTATATTGCCCATCTTCAGTCAAGCCCAAGAGCTTTAGAGGTAATTTAGCAATTATATCATATCATATCATTATATCCCATGATATCCCCTACCCCCATTTCTTTTGGGTGGAATTCTGCATTGGAAATTGCGGTAAATCCCAATTTCCCCCATTGCAATCCCCATTCCTGCGGGTGACCCACCCCTTTTTCGAACGCAGTTTTTGATGGTCAACCTCGATGTTTTTTTCTCGGTTAAACCTCCATGTTACATGCTTGTTGATCAAAACAATTAGATCCCAACTGTTCATCGGTTACGTTGTTGTTGGTCAAATCATTTCAAATCCATGTTTTCGTTGATTAATTACATCGTTGTTGCATTATTCGTTTGATGTTAAACAACATGGCAATACAAAATCCGCCATTTAGTTTGATAAGTGTTCATAGCCATGGAAATTCACCATTCTCAATAGCTACATCATCTTAACATACATGCCCTTTTAGTTTGGGGATTTCCCAACCGCCATGTTCACTGGGCCACCCAGTGATGTTTTGATGGTTTATAAACCCCATTATATAACTAAAGTTACAAGTACCATAAACCATAGTTATTGAAGTGATTTGCACCAACTTAGATATCATAAATCAGCCGTAAATCCCATGACATCCCCATTTTTGTTGCTTAAATCACCCTTTTTCTCTGGTTTGCGGGCCCCCTTTGAGGGTATCTTCTGCGGCAGGAAATGCTGATCGCCGCGAAGTCTTCGTGCACACGGTCTTCCTGGACCAAAAAAATTGGCCTGAGAAATGTGGCGGAAGATTTAGGAATAGGGGAATATATCTTTATATATATATGTATATACCCATAGGATCCATGGTGCTGGTATATATGCTAACATGACTGGGGTATATTGATGGTACATGTTACCATATATAGCATACATGGATCCTATGGGATATATTTATATGGGAAATCACTATTGATTTACTGCAACGAACACATGGATTTGGACAGCAATTGTATCATATCTGGTTGGTGGTTTGGAACATGATTTTTATGTTTCCATTCAGTTGGGAATAATAATCCCAACTGACTTTCATATTTTTCAGAGGGGATGAAACCAACAACCAGTTAGGAATAGGGGAATATACATGGGAAATCACTCTTGGGGAATACTAAATATAGATTGAATGTATGATATAATTTGGTATCGAAATGATTGACTACCCCAGTGTTTTTTTTAGGAATTAGTAGCATGCGGTAGCATATCTACAAATACGTATCACTTGGAATACGGAACCAAATCAATATTGACTATCTATTCAATGGGATTTTACTACTTGGGGAATCTACAGGGAATATGTTTTATTTTTTTGTGTCCTTAATTACTCCGCTGTGAAAATGGATGGCGCTAATTTTTGGAATGCGCCATCTATAGACCACTTGGGGGATGGGATGTTTTGGTTTTGCGCCATCTATAGGTTCCCAACACATGTGGTTGACAACAACCTGTCTTCCTCAAGCTTAGTTTAAACTTAGTATTAAGATCTGGGGTCCATTTTTGGGGGAAAACCATAACTTTGGATTGCGCCATCTATAGGTTGCCACTGCGTTGCGACATCTACAGTGCATGGATAGTGTGTGTGTGTAACATCTAAATAGATGTAAAACTTCTCCTTTTTTCTTTTTCTTTCTTCTCTCCTTTTAATAAAGCAGGGGGTGCCGGGGGCACTGATGAGACCGTCACTAACAAAGACACTCATCAGTTGCCTGTGATATCGATGAGGACGCTCATCGACGTACCTGCTTCATTTTCATGTCAATTTTCTGCAAGTTGCACGTTAAAGGACTCAGTTCCTGATGGATCTCTTCAAAGATCCAATTTTGTCTAGTGTAATATCCATGGTGACTCCGACATGGTGCCATGGAGCCACTTGAGGCAACCCCTTTACAGGTGACTGGTGACGAACTTGACATCGGAATTGACACTTTTAAATTAGTAATTCGTTTAAGTAAAGTGGAACAGACGGCCTTACCGTTGATCAGCCTTTTGAGTTGTCCCGCCATTCCTGCTGTCCTTTGCGAACCCTTGGAATGATCATCTCTCTGCTGGATGTCGATCTGAACAGTCAGAAACTTTATTTTTACCGCTGCAGCTCAAGCTTTTGAAGCGACACATGACCATGAAGGATGTTGCAGGCAGGCACATGCCTTTCAGGTGTGGTCTTTCTTGCTTTTTATGGTTTTCTGGTGAGGTTGAACATATCGTGCACCTAATTCGTTGGAACTTGAACAACTGTTTATGCCTTTTGGCGCGACTTGACTACGGTCCCGAAGGGGAGTAACGCACGACACTTGTTATAGTTGGAACTGGGCCCTTTTTAGATTAATTGTTTTGTTTGTTTCACGCCCGTCACCAACTAGTCCCCATTCGGTCCCTAATTCTTCCCCTGTGCTTCTCCGTAGTGTGTCGTGGGGTTTAGGTGTGTGCTCTGTTTTTGTCAGGTCCGTTTCGCCGCGTAGGTTGGTTCTGGAGGTCCGTTCGTTCCCTTCCCCCCCTGCGCTGTTCTGGCCTTGTGCCCGTCGTCTGTATCCGCTTTTTCCTTCCTCTTGCCTTTCAGGGTTGACCCGGCTCCGGCCGGGTGTGTGTGTAACATCTAAATTAGATGTAAAACTTCTCCTTTTTTCTTTTTCTTTCTTCTCTCCTTTTAATAAAGCAGGGGGTGCCGGGGGCACCGATGAGACCGTCACTAACAAAGACACTCATCAGTTGCCTGTGATATCGATGAGGACGCTCATCGACGTACCTGCTTCATTTTCATGTCAATTTTCTGCAAGTTGCACGTTAAAGGACTCAGTTCCTGATGGATCTCTTCAAAGATCCAATTTTGTCTAGTGTGTGTGCGTGCATGTGATCTAAGGTGGATTGCCCTGTGTATTTTTTGCCTCCCAAAATGCAATGCGGCATCTACAGTGCACAGTTGGTTTGTGTGTGCGTGTGTGAGCCACATGGCTTTGAATATGGCTGCATTGAATTTGAAGATGGCAGCTCCACCGGCAGTAGCCCTGGGGCAAAATTTGGTGAGAATCAAAAGAAAAAACAATCGCTATTTACCAAGAATAGCGATGCTATTCGGGGTCGCACCATCTTCCCATCATAGCGATTTTACAGCCAGGCTGCGCCATCTACCGTCGTTTTTTTTTTGCGCCATCTATTTTCAAGGTGGTGTAAGCAAATCCAAGTTAATGGAAGGCCAATAATGATTAGTAGTGCTTAACGGTGATTAACAGGGACTAAACCAACCTTATCGGAATGACTTTAGTTTACAGGGGTTTAACCAACAACGCTCCGCTCTGATGAAAACGCGCGGCGAAGCTTGCAATGCAGTAACATTTTTTCCTCAGGTCCACAACCACTCACGGTCCTTCGTGATATCCAGGTATGTTGGTGGATCATATCCAAGTTGGTTTGCTCGATTTTTTCGAGTGAGTGCCAATGCTTTCAGCACATTCTGCAGACCAGGCTTGGAACTAATAAAGCGTGCATACCAAGCATCTACATGTGCTGTTGCAGGTGCTCTCTGCAAGTGTAAGAGAAGATCTCCTAGCGTAACATCCCGCATGTGTGCAAGTGCAAGAGAAGAACTGCTAGCGTAACATCCCGCATGTGTGCAAGTGCAAGAGAAGATCTCTTAGCGTAACATCCCGCACGTGTGCAAGTGCAAGAGAAGAACTGCTAGCGTAACATCCCGCATATGTGCAATTGCAAGAGAAGATCTGCTAGCGTAACATCCCGCATGTGTGCAAGTGCAAGAAAAGATCTCCTAGCGTAACATCCCGCATGTGTGCAAGAACGTAAAGGCCGAGAACGTTAATACGCCCCCCCTACCCCCACCCCCCTTCCAAAACACTGCGGGCAGTGGTAAAGAAGGCTCCTGAACACGTCCTGACTTGGGGTTTCGCAATGGTGAAAACGCGCGTTTTTATCAGTTCGGAGCCACCAACAAAATAATTATGGTGCGTTTTACCAACAATGATGAAGATATTAGTAGTGATGTTCTTAGGCTGGCTTTTGGGTTTTTGGGGCATACTGCTTAGGGGTTTTCTTGTTGTCATTCCACTCAGAGAAAGCCTTGAAAAACCCACAAAAATCCACATTTCTGTACACATGCAACCCCCAGGATTTTCTTTGGGATAGGTGTCCATAGCCTTACCAATCGCGCTGCACTCGACCACCAATTGTGCATACCACACCATCAGTATGAGGGTGTAGCTACAAAAAACTTGCTGCTGATGGTGTGCGTAGCAAAATGGTGGGTTTGTGGCACAGTGTGATTATGTGTAGGAATATGCGGACTTCGATTCAATAGGGAATTCTTTGGGAATCATGTGGGATTCTTGTGGGAAACACCAAATTAGACATGCCACAGAGCTGCGCAGCTTGGAGGTATCTGCCAAGTTGAACGGTTGCTACCACATAAGCATTACGAAACTGCAGCCCCCCCCAAAAAAGGGGTGACTTTGCCGAGGGAAGTTGGGATTAGAACAACCATGAAATAGGGACTACATATAACGTCATTATAACATCATATAACATTATGAAACAAGCTGGCACTGGCTATCTTGGTGTTTTTCAAACATCGATCAAATCCACCCAAATGGAGGAATTGCCAATGTTTGCAAGAACATGCAAGCCATAAATGAATATAAATGAGACTTAAAATGAGATGCCAACAAATATGTCTCTTGGTCTATCTCTGTTTTGAAGCCAAAAAAAAGATGATGGGAAAGAAATTCTGCGATGCCTTCTGAAGACAATTCCAGACTCAAAATTCATCGAAGACTTACAACAACAGGTGAAAACAGATGCATTGGCCAATGCGAATCGCAAGCAGAGCCCTGCTCAAGTCCAAAACATCATCACAAACTCTGGCCTCTTTGAATGTCGAGGCATCCCGCACCCTGCGGCGCTGGACAAAGCAGTGTTTCTGAGAAGGTGGGCTCGAACGAAGCCTCAGAAGTTGAACTATACATTCCAGGCCAAACGCGAGAAGCTTCCACCAGAGTACAGCAAGATCTTGGGGAAAAAGGCGTGGGCCAGCCTTTCTGAAGAGAACCTAGCCAGATCGTCTGCAGCGTGGCAATGGCTGCGCTTGTTTGTCAGCAAAAGTTGTTCCCCACCTGCCAGGTGAGGGTTGTTAGATTTTATCAGAGCGCATGCCGCTGTCCTCCTCGCCCTCCTCCTCGCCTCCGCCTCTTCCACCTCCACTTCCGCCTTGCCAACCTTGCCAACTCGTCGCCAAGCTCTTCGCCAACTTCCCAGCTCAGTGCGCACTGCTGGACGTCAACCTGCGAGCTGCCCAGCTCAGTGTGCACCGCTGGACCTCAACCTGCGAGCTGCCCAGCTCGTGTGCACCGCTGGACCTCAACCTGCGAGCTGCCCAGCTCAGTATGCACCGCTGGACCTCAACCTGCGAGCTGCCCAGCTCAGTGTGCACCGCTGGACCTCAACCGCGGACCTGCCCAGCTCAGTGCGCACCGCTGGACCTCAACCGGGGACCTGCCCAGCTCAGTGTGCACCGCTGGACCTCAACAGCCAGATAGAATGCCAGAAGATATGCCAGATAGAATGTCAGATAGAATGCCAGAAGATATGCCAGATAAAATGCCATGAGATATGCCAGATAGAATGCCAGAAGATATGCCAGATAGAATGCCAGAAGGTATGTCAGAATATATGCCAGAAGATATGCCAGATAGAATGCCAGAAGATATGTCAGATAGAATGCCAGAAGATATGCCAGATAGAATGCCAGAAGGTATGCCAGATAGAATGCCAGAAGATATGTCAGATAGAATGCCAGAAGACTTGCCAGTAAGAAAATATAACAATGTCATGGTGGGAATCACACGAAGTAAAGTATTTTTTCAAGTCCCCCTTACATAGGACGGAAGAATGACTAACAGGAGTTCGATCCAATGGCTTCGAAGAGGTGATCCGCCCAAAAAAATGGATGCTGAATAGTGATGATGAAGCCATGTGCCCTGTTTGGGCCAGATGTTTTTCTATACCAAAATCATTATATCAATTTTGTCCAGTGTCCTAAAATATCCTAAAATGATAAAAACGAGATCACCTGTGTTGTTCGATGATTTTAGATGATTTTAGCACTGAAACTTACAAGGTGGTACCCCAGTTCGTTAGCTAAGTTGGTGCAAATAATTCCAATGTCACTAGCAACTATGGTAGATATATCATGATGTATCTATATCCCATAGGATCCATGTATGGTATATATGCTGACATGAATGGGGTATATTGATGGGATCCATGATACCATATATAGCAGCACCATGGATCCTATGGGTATAGTATTCTATAGTTTCTATACCCATACTTATAAACAAACTTATTCTATAGAATACTATAGTATAACCTATGGTTGCAACATACTTATAGTTATAGTATTCTATAGTTGCTATGGTTTATAAACCAACTTATAACTGGGCCACCGGTCCCGGCCCGTCTGTTCACCGGGGATTCTCCGTTGAACCGCCACCCTCAAATTTTCGCGAGGAGGGTGTGACCATTCTGGATGGTCCGGGCACCCTTTGGTGAACCTTAAAGCAGATCGTTTTTTTTGAATTCTGTTTTGGGGTTTCCCAAAACACGATTTTTATGTGGATAATTAATGATAAGTAATGATAATTAATGAATTATGAATGCATGATATGTATACAATTGTATATATATATATATATGTATGTAATTATATGCATATATGGAAGCAAAACTGTGGTCCGGTTTCACGGATAAAACGCAGTTCTACCTGGGAAAACAAAATGGGTTTCCCCAAAAACCAGGTTTTACCCCTGACTCACCAGCCCGGTCAGCTGATCTTTGGTTCTCCTGGTGTTGGTGTTTCGGAAAGCCTTCTGTGTTTTACCCAAAGTTGAAAAAACAAGCAACTAGACCGCTATAAACCCCTTCAACTCCCAAACTCTTTGGATGTTGTTCTAGCCGATAACCGACACTTCTTTTTGGTACGACCACTGAAAAGGAAACAGCTTGGTTTTTACCCGAAACCTAGGTTTTACCTGGGAAAACGCAGTTTTACCCTCTGAATAGGGGTATGGTTTACCCTCATAACCGAGGTATTTCAAGGGTTCGGATGCACAAGGTATATATATATATATATTTTTATTATGGATATTATTGTTTTAAAAAAAACATTTCTCAATTCCCCCGCACAAAAAAAAACAACATCTTCAACAAACGTGCAGATGTCCAACATGTTCGATGAGCTTTGCGACGAGTTTCCCCCGCATCCGAGGCATATGTCCCATGGCAATTGGTCGCTTGGCGATGGCCAATAAGGAGCCAGTCGGGTTTTAAGGCAATGGTTTACCCTCTGGTAAACTAACACAGCTATTGAAAATTGCCATTTATAGTGGATTTACCCATGAAAAATGGTGACTCTCCATAGTTATGTTAGTTTACCAGAGGGTAATGGGACAATGTGGGGAACCCAATGCCACAACTCCAATTTTTTCCCCCTGACGGTGATGACTTGGGGATGGTTTCTGACATTGAGTTTACTACATACCATAAGTTGGGATACAATTCTTCTATATATATATATATATACACATACATGCTGAAATATATCCACTATTATCCACTTAGTTCACTGGAACCGCACTTCGATTCGTAAAGTTCGCCTGGTGAAGACCTCTTGAAATCTGCGGGTCATCGGATTTCATCACTGCAAAGCCTAATTGCTAACCAGTTGGTAAGTGGGGGTGAATCACCAAAGAACATGGTGAATTCCTTCATAGGGTCCTAAGAGTCGTAGAACATTTGACCAACAATGGGAATATTTTCTGGGAATACAAAGGTGGGGGGTGTCAACGGGAGACACATGGAGACACACACTGAAGATGGTGCTATCAATGGGGATAGCATGGGCCGTGCCATGCCATAGCTATGTTTTTTGGTCTTGGGCTCCAAGGCTTCCAAGGCTTCCAAGGTGGGAAGGATACGCTGAGGGGTGTATGGAATACGATCATCCCATGCCACTATATAATTATTGAACAGCCCCAAGAAACCATAAGAAACCTATGGTTGAAAAAATTTAGGGGATGGCTCCGCCTATCTTAACATATTTATGGGACATTTTGGGTCATTTTATGAGGCTGTTAGTATTGGGGCGGGTGGGATGAATCGTACTCCAAGCACAATGCACCTAGATCTGTAGAACCAACAGCAGCTGCTATGTCTCCACCTGCGGAGACAGAGGACCTCAAATGACGTCACCATGATGGTGAGTGGAATACCCAATCATTGCATATAATGGCCTTGTTTTCTTAGTTTTCCAGGATGGTGAGATATTTTCATTATTTTTAATTTCACCAGAAGCTTGGACAAGTGACCACCAATATTATCGCTAGGGTATATAGATGTTTATAGAGTAGCCACTGTAGCAGCATGGGGAAATACCCTGTTAGCCATGGCCCACGTAGTTCCATGCTTGACCTATGTCCATGGCCAAAAAATCCATGGCAAATGGTGAAATTTCCAGAGGTTATCATCCAGTAATCAATTCTGACTAGAAAACCTTACCATATTGAAACGTTGAGCTTTTCTGTTACCATGAAAACTCCAGTCCTTTTTTCCAACTCCGATGCTGGTTCCAGTGGATTCCGGTCCCGGGGTCCCGCTGCTAGGAGTTGCAACAGCTAGTCATGCAAGAGAAGAGGAGATTCCCTGGAGGGACGGTTCTAGATCTGCGCGAAACAATTTTTGGGCAGATCTTTATTTTAGATATCTCGAGAGCTACTGTCAACGGGTAAACCAACTAAAGTTGTAACCCATAGGATCCATGTATGGTATATATGCTAGCATTTGGGGTATATTGATGGTAAATGATACCATATATAGCATACATGGATCCTATGGGTAAGGGTGGCTATATGTACCTTGTATAAATGCTCATTAGATGTCATTTGAATGGGAAAATCATCGAAGGTTTAAGGTATTTTGCTCACGTTTCGCAGGTTTTGCCCGTTGCGACTGCGAATGGTTTTGGGTCTCCTGAGTCATGGGGAAATCTCCAGCTGGATTGTTTTTTTATGGTGGAAAAACCAATTGAAATGGATGATTTATATAGGGGTAGCCCTATTTCAGGAAACCTTATTTATGGAGGTAAAAAAGAGTTAAACTATGTCAAATTAAAGTTTTATGTCTACTTGGAGGATCTAGCTAGATCCGAAGAAAAGCATCTTAAGTTGGGTTTCATCGCAACCGGACCCACGGTTTTTCGTCTCAGCGTTTAGAAATACCTGGCTTACCTGGGTATTGTTTTTATTAAACATGAAACCTGTGCATATCTGGGCTGTAAAACTCGCCAACCCAAACGTATACGGTGGTTCCCCCCAGATATATTTGTTGGTTTTGGAAGCCATAGTAACTATACATATAACCCCGTACATATATGGGCGTTTCTTGGAATGGTGGATCCCCCAAAACCATGGTTGCTTCAATACTAAAGTTACTAAAGATGGTCTAATTTGGATGATTTGGGGGTACCATCATTTTAGGAAACCTCCATATATATATATATATAAACATCCAAAATCCCTATAGTTACTGGAGTTATAACCCTAATTTAGACAACTCTTATCACCTTGTAGATGATGTCTGAACATTCTGATAGGGTACTCCAAACTCAAATGGTTTATATATGCGTTTTCCAATGAAAACTCGCATTTTTTGGGGTATGTCCCTTTTTCATCACTTTTCCCAATGTAATATTGTTGGATCGTATGCTTGCAAATTGGTCTTACAATTAGCACCCCAAGTATTCCATGTATGTTTGTTTTTAACCATCATGTGTTGCTGGTTAAGCTAAACTCCCGTTTATTGTGTGTTTTTGACAGAAACATGTCCTGACCAGATCAAATTGATTTCATGATGCCAGCCTATTGCTTCATTTAGATCCCATGCTATTCCACTTCAAACAACACTATAGATCCCATTCAACAAATGCTAAACAACCAGGGGTTGCTCCAACGTTACAGGATCTGGCTGAACAGTGTTAGGGGCCTCAGACTCCAGCGACAAGACATTGCTGCTTTATTAGTGCTGCTAAGATTAATAGTGCAGTTAATAGTCTTAACACACATTAATAGTACACCAATACAGGTAGCATTAATAATGTGAATAATAGATATTAATACTGTATAGCACCAACTGTGCTAACTGCTAATACACGTTGTGCATTGGTGGTGTTAATTGTACATGGAATAGAAATCAATAGATTATAGGCCGGTCATTGTTTTTGATGTTTAATATGTTTATTTTATTTTTAAATGATATATGATATAGTAATGATATGATAGCTGCTGATAGCAAATTGGAGTATTACATATGTATATATATATATAAACATATACCACCATTACAAATATTATTTTGCTTCATAGGCGAAACATATACCAGTGACATGTGGATTTGTTTTTTTGTCCGAGGTTCAGGGCCAGTTTTTGAAACACCGCGAGTCGCCAATGGCCAATCAACACGTGAATTCATAGGGATTAATAGTGCCATTCATTAGTAATCCCCATTATTATCATCAAGTACCACTAGTGACTGATAGTGATCAATATTGATTTATAGTGATTAATTCATAGTGATTAGTAGTCATTAATAGTAATTAATGTGGGTAAAACATTGCCATAAACAACCCATGACTGGGAATGGTAAACATATCACCTATAACAATGGTGATGACGGGATGGTTTGTGAAATTGTTTTACCCGCATTGGGTGAAGTAGGTTTAGTCCAGTACTGGGGTGAAATAGGCCGCTTATAATTTCTGGGAGCCGCAAAGTAATGGTTTCCTCGGAACTGGGCGAACGGCGGGTTGAGGAATATCATGGAAGATCCCAGTTATACATATATATATATACTTCATGCCTCTACACATATAATATAGATATTTAGATCTATTTTTATATTTGCGACATGGTTTAATACGGATACGGACTTGCTATTGACTTCCTGTGGATTTCTATAGATTTACTGTACTCTGGATTATGGATCTCTAGGAACTACCCTCTGGTAAACTAGTAGTTCCCTCTCGAAAATCACCATGTGAATGTGTCATGGCTAGTTCTCATCTAAACATTGGCCCAAATTCCATCCTTTTCCGAATTTCCCTAGCTCTGTTACCCTCTGGTAAACGAGCAGTTTGCTATGGAACATCACCATCTTTAATGGGTAAATCAACTATTTCTATGGGCCGTGTTCAATAGCAAACTGTTAAATTACCAGAGGGTAATGATTAGCCTTGGATTGATGGTTTGAAACTGGGACATATCCCAATCGCTTGATCTATCCCTAGGTCATAACTGTCATAACTATGGTTGAGGTCATCTGCTTCAATAGCTTTTTGTATGTTTACCAGAGGGTACAATGTGAGGCCCCCAAGATAGCTAAGTTGGTTTATAACTCCAATAACTATGGTTTATGGTACTTATAACTATAGTTACTGGGGCTTATAAACCAACTTATATCTTGGGGGGCCTCACATTGATAGGTTTCCTGGAGCAAATTTTTGCCTTCGCAGATCGCGACGGCTTTACCGGCCTTTGAGCTGAACCCGGAGCTCTTAGAGAAGCCACTGGGCGGATGAGCCATGAAAAAATAGCCTGGTCTATGGGGGTTATGAAATAGGGAGTTCATTTTTTTGGAAGTTCTATATACTAATTATAGTTGGGGATAAAAAGATAAGCCTTAGATAGCCTTAGTAGGTTTCCACCGTTTTCAACCAGGAAATTTCAATGTGTTTCATGAGATGGTAAAACGTACTAATGGATTTGCAAGGGGTTTTACCATCAAACAAAACATGGTGTTTGCACAGCAAAATGAACGATTTAAATCTGTCCATTTCTTCGGGCATGGCAAAACCTAGCCTATTGGAAAGCGTGAATGGCGAGATTACAGGCAGTAGCCAAGTCTTGCACAGAACCGAACAGTTTGAACAGTTTGAATTTCGGAAAACATGGGCTTCGCGACAGTCCCCGTTAAACTCGAGCTGTTGGACTGTCACAGAGGTAGAGGATCAGTTCTGGCAACCTTTGCAATGGTTGGTTGGTTTGGCGGACCCCAAAATTTGCCGAATTGCTTCAGATTCTGATGTTCAGCCAGATATATCCTCCCCATATGCTCCATGGTGCTGGTATATTTACCTACAAAACTGGGCCATAAAAATGGGGTAAATTTGGGTAAATGGTGGGATTCATATTCCATACATAGAGCATATATCCTCGGTAAAGCTTGGAATTTCGCTGGGTAACCCGGCCGTGTTTTAGGCGGTCCCAGCGGTCTTTGCCACCGGTCAATCCCATCTAAGCCCCCGCTTGGGTTTTTCGAACCCGCGATGGATAATAATACTTATACTAAACCGTTGTGTTTCTTTGGTGTTGTTTTCTTCGAGAAGGGATTTTCATGAACAGGGTGTTTTTTTATCCACCATTTCTTTTGTAAATGTACTGTATGAAACATATATATACATACGGCATATGTTTTTGATTGAATTTCTGGACGCAGGATCACCAAGAAAAAATGGCAAAAGACTCTGTTCCTTTTGGGTAACATTTTAAACCTCAAAGGTCTTCTTTCAATCCATCTTATTTTTTGTGCCAACGCCCAAGTTAATCCCATTTTGTCATAGTTTATCCCATTTAATCTAATTTAACCCCAGGTTGTTTCACGTTTTTTTGGTCAAACTCCTGGATCTGCTGAAGCTGTTTTTTTCGTTTGTTATTTGTCCAATGGGAAATCGACTACTTGGGGAATCTATAGTTTTTTTTTGCATTTTGGGGATCCTCAAACAAATTCAAGTCTAGAGAAAGTTAGTTAAGACTATATAATTAATAGTGATGAAAATACTGATGAATGGTAATTCATAGGGACTAAGCCAACCATACCAGGAATCATGATAAGGGGTCCACAGGGGTTGAACTCTTCGTTATCCAAGGCCGCACAAGTTCCTGCCCTTCCTTCGAGATTTCCGGAAGGCCATTGCAATTCCAGGCGCCGCCATTGCATGGAAGGGACCGGAGTCAACCAGTCCCCCAATGGGGATTTCATCAAACATGCTGATCCTGATTTGGCTTCCATGTTTTTTCTTGGTCATGCTTACCCATAGGATCCATGGTGCTGGTATATATGCTGACATGACTGGGGTATATTGATGGGATCCATGTTACCATATATAGCAGCACCATGGATCCTATGGCTTATGGTGATTCAACCGAAGATTTTCATTAAGGTGTTGAGTCATTGGGGAATCGAATCGGATTGTGCTCCGGTGCATTTGTGGTTCCATGGGGGAGTCTAAGGGTTATTTATCCAACCCCATAGGATCCATGTATGCTATATATGGTAACATTTACCATCAATATACCCCCAATGTTAGCATATATACCAGCACCATGGATCCTATGGAAACCAATATGGGGTCTAAACCTAGCGAGAATGAGGCTGTAATAGGATAATACCACGCAAGATGCTGAAGGGAATGCCTATGGGTCCAAAATAGGGTACAGATGAACCCGCACATGGCTGCTCATGGCTGGTCCATTTCCCCATCCAAAAATTTGGGAGTTGAGATATTTTGAGTCAGAAATCACCGTCAGAAATGGGAAATTGCATGGATTTGTCAGCCAGAATAGAATTTTTCCGCGGACGGACGTTTAAACTATGGTCACCATATCGCTTCATTTTTGGCCACTTTGACAGCCTGGTTTGGAGAGGGGAAAACCTCACCAAATGCGCTTTGAGTATCATCGAACTCACTACCAAAATATGGCTAAGCCGGTGAAGGGTAGGTAATTGAATTTAAATTCATAGTAATTTCATGTTTTACAAGAACGAAAACGGAATATAATGGGAGTTCACGGCATCATTTTCTGTGATTAGTATATCGTCATGGAATGGGTTCGTCGTACTGGTTGATCGCTTTCAGTTGTGATTTCTTCATGTTGGTCAAACCAGACATTTGTTGTGGTCGCAATTTTGACCCGTAGCCATTTGTTTGGGAAGTAGAATCCACTGATAAATTTTCAAGTTTTTGACCTCTCAGAATTAGTTTGTAGGAAGCTTAAGAGGAAACTATGACCCATATGCTCAATGTATGGAATATTTACCACCATTTACCCCATGTTTATGGCCCAGTTTTGTAGGTAAATATACCATACATGGAGCATATGGGTGATAATTTGATGGAAATTCCATGAATTGATCTGGAAAAAACAGAGTTCACCACTCCAATCATCGGAAAAGGGCCCCCCCTTCAGATAGCGTGAACCGTTGCCTAAAAAAAGTGGCTGAATGCTATATGGTTTATGGTAGATATTTCACGAACTAGTTCATGGAAGTTATATTGGTTTATAAACCAACGTTCACATCACTGAGGGGCCCCATCCTGTATTTTCAGCCTAGCAAATTATCTTGATTCAGCCAGATAGATCATAGGTATAGTCTATGCATGTGTGTATGTTTAGTGACAACTCATTATAGATATCCATTACTTGAATAAAACATGTTATAATATATTGTTTCTATTTACCGTATCTTCTATTCCCATTTTCTCGGTCGGTGAAGCCACATATGGATACATATGGTTGGATAAGCCATTTGGATTGATATGAACCATTCACATTTTATTACCCTTGATTGGTTATGCAAGTAGGGAGTTATATATACCCTCTGGTAAACTGACATAGCTATTGAAAATGGCCATAGAAATAGTTGATTTACCTTTTGAAAATAGTGATTTTCCAGTTCGTCATGTTAGTTTACCAAGGGTACTACCTGGGTTATGGGAGATTATGAACTAAGCCACGGGATTGGGGTTCAGCATTTTGAAAACCCGACCAGTAGAATGAGATGGGATTGGAGTATTTGAAAAAATGCCTCATGTAATCAAGAATTCATGGGTAATGGGATACACCCGAGGAAACTTTCAGGTTGGTACTGGTTAGATATTTTGCTGTAAATGATCGTTTATGAATCTCACCTTTCACAAGCAGAAGTTACATCTGCGGAGTCTCTCACAGCAAGACCATTCTTCAGAGGCGGAAAGGTGTCACCCATTTTCAGACGGACCATGGCATCCCCCCCATTGGTTGAAGGGACTTATATAAATGGCATAAATGGCATAAAAATGGATGATTAGATGCCGGAACATCATCTATAAATGAGGGATGTTCATGGATTTTTCATTGCCATGTTTGATTATGGGATATTAAGAATCATGGATTGCGGAAAAACTTTTCCTTCAAACCAATCCCAAAAACCTTCTGGTGCCCCCTGCCGGGCTAATCCCCCATAGTTTGCTGGGAACATAAACCTCCATATTCTACTTCGGGTATATTTTTAGCGGCCATGCTTGACTACTAGATATCGTATTCACCTTGATATTCCATGAATATCCCATCAGATCATCATTATATCCCAATGGCACCAGCATTTGTGTTGATGAAATTCCCAAAAAAAACTATGGAAAATGGTCATTTATAGTTGATTTACCTATTAGATATGGCGATTTTCCATTTCGCAAACTGTTAGTTTGCCGGATGGTATTAATATAACTCCCGCGTCTCGATATATAGGCCCTGAAAGGCGAGCGAAAGGCGGGATCTGGATATCTGGATGGACTCTGGGGGAAAAGCGGTTGTTTCGAATCCATCGCCACATGAATTTGGTTATTTATAGTTACCCAACCTGGTAAACTAACATAGCTATTGAAAATGGTGAAGTAGTGCATTTACCCATTGAAGATGGCCATTTTCAATAGCTATGTTAAATTACCGGAGGGTACCCAACCTGGCTTCCAGCAGTATTCAAGGCAAACAAAATGTTTATCTAAAGATTGATAGGGTACATCTGATTCAGATCTATCATTATGAACATGATTACCCTCTGGTTATGACTAACATAGCCATGGTTTTTCGATGGCCCATAGAAATAGATGGTTTACTTTCTTAAAAATTGTGATTTTCCATGGCGAACTGTTAAATAACCAGATGGTAACGAAATGTGAATGATAATTAATGTACGTATGTTAAGGTACCTATGAAAAACATGTGATTTTCCATAGCTACGGTACTCGTTCCTTATTTTACCAGAAGGAAATCGTAGGCCTGTGTTGTTGGCTTCTTGTCTTGCTCTGGAAGCAAACCTGCAGATTGTATGGGCTTCGATTCTTTACGACCTTGGAAAGTACCAAACTATGCTGTGTATACCACCAGATCACAGTAACCCCCTAGTAAGTTATATGGGTATGTGTCAATACCTATAGATACATTTTTAGTGGGATGAACATCCATTTACCAGCTATTTTGGGGTTCACTAGGTACCAGGGTTTTGACCCATCCCCATATTGTATTTGGATATATGTGCTGGTGCAGAATTCTACTGGAGAGTACTGTAGAATATATTGGAATTAGTCTTGGGAGGTAAGGTAGTAAATTTCACACCATAACCCAATTTCTTCCATTTGTGATGATGATATTGAGGGATGGAAGAATCATAATTTGGCTTACCACATGATACCTGCGCCCAAGGAATTTTCATTGTTGGAGGATACGGCCTATGGCAGGGTTGAAACCTCCAAAGTCTTTGGTTCACTGCTGGGTGTTTCTGCTGGCATGGAATATTAAGGGGAAGGGACAGAAACAACCATAAAGAAGGGCGAATCTTTGTTTGTTGGCATTGATTTGGGAACCTCTTCGTTTTTCTCTCAATAGTTTCATGAATATATACTGTATATATATATATATATGTGTATATACATTATATATAAATATCATAATATATACATATATATATATATTATAAAATATTTATATAATGTATATATACATAATATATATATATATAAATAAATCATAATATATGTATACACGATTATACACGCACATACGTATACATAGGGTATAGTTGACCCTGGCTCACCGCAATGCTGGGCTGCTCTTTTTTTGCGTTGCGCCCAGGCAAAACCTGGCCCCTTGAAGCTCTGTCTTTGACCACAGAATGCTAATCCATTTTGAGCACTAACACTATAAACATATATATATATATAATATGTACATATAATATGTATATATAATATGTATATATAATATGTATATATAATATGTATATATAATGTGTAAATATAATATGTATATATATATATATATCCATTTTTAGTACTATTTTGAGTACTAATGCTAATCCAACGATTGGGGCTACCTAGTTTTGACCACCCATTTACACCCGGTGCTTTCTCGAATGGCGGTGAATCACTGATGTTTCTCTCTCGGAAGTCTGGGGAACCGGGACGACGGCAGGCACAGATACTGCCCGATCCAAACAAAGCCGATGGACTCAGTGTCGGGGGCACTCAGCACTGGCAGGGGACACTGCATAACTCTGAAGTGGGATGAGGATCATATTGAGATATATGGAAGTTTCCCTAAATGGGGGATCCCCAATAGCTGGATGGTTTGTAAGGGAAAATCCCAATCTAAAAGGGATGATAACTAGGGGTACCCCCATTTTGGGTAACCACCAAAAAATGGTGATATCTGTACATACTGAAGTGGCTGTTGGCCCTCAAAATTGGCCCACTAAAAATCTCACCATCTGGCTGTGAGACCCAGCCTCAGATGCAGGAATTTTTACCGGATCCGAAGATTGGATGATTGGAACCCCTACAAGGTGGTGCCCCAGTTCGTTAGCTAAGTTGGTGCAAATAAGTCCAATAACTATGGTTTTTGTTGGTGATATATCTATAGTTAATGGGATTATAACCCATTTATAACTTGGGGGGGCACCACCTTGTAGAAATGGCCTCATTTTGATGTCAGATAACAAACCAGCTCTATGACCTCAAAAATCTTTGCTGAATCCTATATCAATGTTCAAAATCGGGACCCCGAAAGCCACGAACATAGTCTATCTTTCTTCTCAGCCAGGGGTTCCTGGTTTGGAGGGTTCCGCAATGTTCAAACACGCGCCAGACAAACCCACCTGGCTTGTAGCCTCCCCCTTCTTCAACAGGCCTGTATCTTATTGCTGTCCTATTTGAGGTTGCCTCGCTATTGAGTCCTGATATATTAAGTTCTGACTCATGAAAATGAGGCACGAGGATGCTAATTCCCAACTGACTGACTGCCGTATTTTTCAGATGGCTCAAGCACCAACTCGATTTCTTCGTTGATTTCATACATTTGGTAAGGATTTTCTTGATAGAACATACGTATTTGGAGGTGCTTTTCTTTTGGGTGATTAATGGGGGTAACCTGTGAGAATAACCTCCATCAGTTGGGATTTAACCCCTACAATTGCTTATATTAGTGGAAGCAAATGACAGGAATTAGATTCAATTAGATGCGTTGAGAAAAACGACCCAGGAAATATAACCAAATATAATATAACCCTACAATCCATAAATGGCTAGTTTTTTTCTAACCCATGCAGGAATTATTGGTGGAACTGCAGCCGGCTAAGCCACAGGTCCGAAAGCAACGCATGTGCTTCGTTTGAGGAGGTGCATAGCAGCTGGGTAAGCCACAAGAAAGCAGCTGGCGGTACTGGGAACATCATAGATATATTGGGAAACCAACCATTTTGAGGGGATATCATGGGGATGTAATAGAATATAATATATATATATTTACATATTATATAATTATATGGAAGAATTATAATGACCTCACATTGTTCCCGCGCTGGAATGATGATGAGGAAAGGGAATTCTCCCCAAATGGTCGCAAGCCAAATGCCTGGTGAAGAAAAATAACACAGATGCCACTGAAGATGCAGTGATGCGGGGATTTCAAAGTCCAGAGTACCCTCTGGTAAACTAACAGTTTGCTATTGAAAATGGCCATTGAAATAGTGGATTTACCCAGTAAAAATGGTGATTTCCCATAGTTATGTTAGTTTACCAGAGGGTAGGGAGGGGATTGTTTGAGCAACAAAAAACATCCGGGATAATGTGGACATGTACTATAATGTATACACAATCTGCAGCTGGCTGTCGTGCCCATGCTGCCTGTGTGCGGAATTGACATGGAAATTGCCAGCGCACATACGAATTGGGCCACTTACATCGTGGGTAAGGAACTGGTGGATGGTTCAAATGTGTTGATGTGTTCCATCTTACTTGGGCCATTGGGAGGCCGCTGGTTTTGACCATCACTCCAGGGAGACATTGGTGAATGTTTGGTTACCATGTTACCATGCAATTCGGTTTTTTCGCGCCAACAATGACCAACAGTTTTGGGTCGTTGATCATAAGCGTTGACCCAAGAATGGTTTGGCCCTGGCTCAAATGGTTGACGCCAAAGTGGATGTTGTAGTAGCACACTTGCTAGTGTAAATGGTGCCCCATTTCCCTGGTTAAACGATTAGAACATAGCAGTTTCTTTGGATGCCCCACAATCCCAAAGTTTTCTCTTTGGAAATCCATGGTTTCACAAATTTATGATGGGTTTGCTCCCAAGTCTTGCTGAAAAAAATGCTGAAAGAACAGGTCCCCTGATCCCCTGTTGCCGGGAAATATACCAGCCCCGTGGAGAATACTCATGCAGTTCCGTTCATAAATGGGTTCTATAACCATATCTGGTTGGTGGTTTGGAACATTGTTTATTTTTCCATATATTGGGAATAATAATCCCAACTGACTTTCATATTTTTCAGAGGGGTAGGTCAACCACCAACCAGATATAGTTGTAGGGATTATCATCGTTATTAGCATCGTTTCTACCGCTGACCCCAACTGCAGCCTCAAGGCTGGAAGATGCGCGCAAACTGCAGGTGCAGGGCTTTGGGCATAGCCTTGGCGTCCCCCAAGTAATAGTAATAGGTGAGCCGGTTCAAAACCCTGGTTTGTTGATGATTATAGGGGATTATACTACCCAATATATTGGGAATTCTAATAATCCAATAGGGAAATCCCTAGTAACCAACCAGTATAATGGAATGTAAATACATACATACATACCATACCATACCATACCATACCATACCATACCATACCATACCATACCATACATCACATTACATTACATTACATTACATTACATTACATTACATTACATTACATACATTACATGCATTACATACATTACATACATTACATGCATTACATGCATTACATACATTACATACATTACATGCATTACATGCATTACATACATTACATACATTACATACATTACATACATTACATACATTACATACATTACATACATTACAGACATTACATACATTACAGACATTACAGACATTACAGACATTATATACATACATTGCATACATTACATACATTACATACATTACATACATTACATACGTTACATTACATTACATTGCATTGCATTGCATTGCATTGCATTGCATTGCATTGCATACATACATACATACAATATATATATATATAGATAGATAACTTCCCTCCTTCCACAACTCCCTTGATGTCGAGTCTCCGGCCATTTATGGATATGTTTTTTCCTGGACCGGCTTTACAAATGGTGAATTTCCATAGCAATGGTAAATTACTAGAGGGTAAATTCCGATTAAAGCCCTATTAAATCTCCATTAAGATTATTAGTCCCATTGTTCATCCCATTAAAGTCCGTCGTTAGTTAAAGTCCATTAAGGTCCATCAAAGTGCATTAAGGTCGAAGTCCATTGTTAATCCCATGGTTAGTCCATTAAAATCCATTAAAGTCCACTGTTAATCCCATTGTTGATAGATAACCACTATTTGGATTCTAATCTACCTATTGTTATTCCCATGGTTAATCCCATGGTTAGTCCATGAGTTCGTTACTTCGACCATTTGATCCGCAAGTTTCACCCCAGGACCGACTCCGCATCGCCGATCAAATCGCCCGCGAGCACTTGGCCAATGGCGGCTGCTATGCAAAGGCCCAGGGCCAGGATGGATGGGACGTGACCGGAAAAAACACCAGCTGGGGCCCCAAGGATGGGTTTTTACTATGCTGATGAAATCAGGTGATTTTATGGTGATTGCATGAGATGAAGCCTGGGGGTTCGCTAAGTCAGTTTGTAAGTAGCTGCCGACTAGGCTTTATAATAGATGTATCGAACTAACTGTTGTTTCTTTGCCGACAAACATTCACTGGCCTCACCATAGATGTGGATAAAATATTGCCTTCTCCCGTCGCGATGACACTTTAAATGATGGTTTATGTATGATAATATACCAATATGTGTAGATATCATAGGTAATGAAACTATCCCCATTTCGAGCCGAACTGTTCAGGTTGGTGAACAAATTCTTTCAATTTATCCAGGTAGATATTCAATGATATTTAGCATATTTAGCAATTTTATTGAGATTATCATCATATTAAGCCGTGTATATATATATAATATAGATATATAGATACAATCCCCATCAGAAATCATTCAGATCTTTCATGACATATGATTTCGCAATGTTTGTCAGCAGAATCATCTCAAAGCTGGCTGAATTTGCCCTGGTGACCCTGGTTGATGCTTCTGGGAGAAAACCAAGCTGAAAGGATCTGGAAGGACCAAAATCGGGATGGGGATTGTAACTATGATGATCTTGGCGATCGAAAAGCATCATAAATGGTGATAGGCAACAAGAGAACAGGGATGTAATGGGGATGGTTCTAGGGAAGTGATAGGGTAGTGATTGGATGAATTGCAAGAACTGCACTGGCCGACGTCACTGTATTTATCATCCTCAAATGGGGGTTTCCATGAATGGGGGTACCCCTAAATCATCCATTTTAATAAGATTTTCCCTTATCAACCATCCATTTTGGGGTACCCCCATGACTATGGAAACCCCCAAATGGCCAAACTCAGGCTGGTGAATCATGAAATGATGAAGCCGGTGTTTCTGGGTCATGTAATTCGGGATCCAAGCCACAACGTTGATCATGGTTTTCTTGATTCAACAGATCTTCCCCAAAACATCCCAAGCTGGAAATCCCTAAAAGCACCGAAACAAAAATCATGCTGTTAGGAGCAGGAGTGGAGTAGAGTTTCCTCAATTTAGAGAAACATAACATATGTTCCTATCCTCAATTTGGAGAAGCACATGTTTCTATCTATGTATATTTACAATTAGTTACCTACGTTTGAGCCATCATATATCTGGGTAAATTTCATCACGACCTCACTGTTCTCCCTCACTATAATCATGGTTAGCGGAATCATCCCCAAGATAGCCTTAAGTTTCAGGTGAGTGAATTATTATAATTTACCCAGAAGTATAGATTTCTATAGCTATGTCAGTTTACTGGAGGCTATGGCCAACAAATTTCAACTTGGGATATCTACTGATATATCTATTGATATGCGGCCGCAACGTTGCAAATCATTGCCACCAACAGGTTTTTTTGGCTCCGTTGGTCCTGCCGGAAATGCACAACAAGGCGAGCGAAGATCGAGGCTGTGTCCCATGGGGTATACCGAATAATAAAATGGCCATCGCATAGGAAAATTTTCATGATAAACCATAGATTTTGGGGATGATATATGGCTAATTTTCACGATAAACCATGGGTTTTGGGGATACACAGGATATCATTATGTAATGGTAGCAATGGTAGCGGTTGATTTTAATCACCTATATCCCAAATATATTATATCACCCACTTAGTCTGGTTGGTGGTTTCATTTTCTCATATTTGGGATTGTGATCCTTATGATCCCCGATGACTAATGTTCTGAGATGGAAACCATCAATCAGCCATAAATTGCAACTCCAAAATCAGAGATTTGGATAAATTTGGGGCATTTTTGCTTAACTGATGTTCTTTTGATTTCTTTTGTGCAGGTGTGGCAACAAGGAAACAATAGGACATGCGTAAAATTAGAACACGGACGTCTTAGGTCGAGGTTATTTTGAACTTTCTGCGCTGAGCCTCCGAAGGCTCGTTTTTGGCTGGAAGATTCAGACGAGGACCGGGGATGAGAAATGAGAGATGGTTATTTGATGATATCCAGTTTTAACCTATAACGAACAAGAACCATGGACTAATGGACTAATGGACTATTAATACTAACATGGTCATCATTGGTGGGGTTTCAATGGTTATATGATGGTTTTATGATGGTCAATCATTGGCTTAATATCACTAGTGATCAATGGGTGATATGCTGGTTGGTGGTTTCAAACATTTTTTATTTTCCATTTCATATATGGGATGTTATCCTTCTCATTGACGAACTCATATGTTTCAAGATGTTTTTTTCACCACCAACCAGGTTTGGTTAAGGGCAAATTACAGCAGAGCCCTCTTAGTTCTTTGGACCGTACGGATTGACAAGAGCACCGCCCTGCATTTTTCCCAGGTGTTTCACCTGCAGCTGGACAAGACTTACCATACACTGCCATACAATCATATACATATACATACGCGGAAGGCATATATACAAATACATGTGCAAACGTATATTATCATATATTATCTACATATTTACTCATACCATCCGTTATATATCATATATTATCTACATATATTATCTACATATATTATCATATATTATCTACATATATTATCATCATATATCTACATATCTACGTAGGCTTATTATTTATAATACCATCCGTCTGATGACTGGCTGGTTGATGCTCAAAAACGTTAGATGACCCAGAGCATAGCGGCGATGTGGCAACACATCAGCAAAGCATAGGTGATACGAAAATACCTCTAGGACATTACCCAAGTCCCTTACCAAAGGAATCCTTTCTGGTTGATGGTTTGGAACATTTTCTATGTTTCCATAGATTGGGAATCATATGGAATCATCATCCCAACTGTTACTCACTCATATTTTTCAGAGGGGTAGGTCAACCACCAATCAGTTAAGGTCTCTTCAAATGCGACAGCAGTTGATAGGTGGTTTACCCATGTTTATCCCATTATTGATAGGGTTTCAACCATCCTTTTGGTGGTGCAGGGTTTCAAACATTTTTTTAATTTCCATAATATATGGGATAATTCTTCCCATTGACGAACTCATATGTTTCAAGATGTTTTTCAAACCACCAACCAGATTTTCTCGTTTTTCTCGGAGGAGGGTCTTCATTCTCACCTGGCATTCGGGCAACCAATCGTTGTACCAGCGGATGAGGTCCACGGGGTTCATGGCACCGAAAACCGTTGAAACATGGCTGTACTTCACGTAAGCTGCATCAAAACTGGGGTTATTAACGTAGTGGAACAGTGTGAACTATATATTCTATATAATAATATGTATATATATATACATAAATAAATAAATTAATTAATTAATTAATTAATAAATATATATATATATATAGCGGGCATATTCCATATAATTACATAGAGCCATATAGCTGGATCATGAATTTTGATTTACTGCCCACTGGGATCATCCTCCAGTCATGACCAGGTCGCAACGTCGTTTTTCCCTAAAAATGGTGATCTCTGTAGGCAAGAAAAGGGTGAAGTTGCACCTGGATTCCGACACAGTTTGGATTTTTTTTTGGGTTACCCTCTGGTGAACTAACATAGCAATGGAAAATGGCTATTTATAGTGGATTTTCCCATTAAGAATGGTGATTTTCCACTGCTATGTTAGTTCACCAGAGGGTAGTTGGCTATCTGACAAGTATAATTATAGGATTACTGTAATATGGATTAATCAGGTCTGTAATATGGATTAATCAGGTTTAAATTACTTGCCGCGATGACTCAGGCAAGGTTCCAGGTTCCACCGGCATATGTCGGGATGCAACCCGTATAATCCCATCCCATCCCCCTTTTATTTTGAAGACCCTCGTCCACTCGTCCAAATATGTGTCAATCCCCTACAATGTGAGGCCCCCAAGATAGCTAAGTTGGTTTATAACTCCAATAACTATGGTTTATGGTATTTATAACTATAGTCACTGGGGCTTTTCTTAACCAACAAACATATCTTGGGGGGCCTCACATTGTATGAAACCATGGTTTCTGGTGGCTGTTTGGGAAGGGATTGTCGGATGACTCCCCCAAATCAGGGGAACTGCTTCGTTTGCAGACCCCATCAGATGCGTCAGGCTCCCCAGTCTGATGAATCGGATACAGGCGAGAGTCGATATGGCAAGATGGAGCGCTATGGCCGTTGCTGCAGGGGTACATTAATTATTTTGATGGAACCAGGGTTGATAGTTTTCAACCATAATTGATAGTTTTCAACCATAATTTCAGTAGTGGGTTAATAAATCATTTTCTATCTTGAAACATCTAGAAACGCCCCCTTATGAGACTCATACGAGTCTACCACAAGGCAGGATGTGCTAAGTATTCAGATCTTACAAGTACTGTAAATCCCTGGCTGGTTTTCAAACAGAATATGTTCCAGATGTGGGATGGTGATTAACTGACAATGAGGGTGACAGCATTGCTTGGTCACATTTGCCGATATCTAAAGATGATGCATGCTTGTTATATCCTGAAAGTTACCAACAATTGTGGTTGTGTGTCTTGAAACACAAGGTCAAAATGGTTTGCTCATCCAAGTTAATTGAATCGCTGAGTCCCTTTGTGAATTTTAAAACAAGTGATGGTTGTTCAAAATGACTTATACCGAATTAGACAATAACCACTTGAAAGGCGACCACTGAATGTAAACCAGCTATTGTACTTTGGTCCAATTTCAAACCACTTGTCTGACAACAGTTGGATGTCTTGATAGTATAGTAACCCCAAAAAAGATAGAATCGTATTTCAGGATGGTATAATTCGATGTTGTTTTTCCCATCATTTCCATAGACAGTTCCACATGTTTCCGATGTATGCTGCATGAACGATGCCCGGTGCACGGTGCACGTTTTCCTTTTTGAAACCAACCTAACAGGCAACCGCTTACGTCAGATCGGCGATGACCAGGCACGGTTAACCTTCCTATATTTTTGCGAATGGTTTACACAAGAAAATGATGGTAAGTTTGATGAGGATAAACACCACAACATGGTGATTTAACCTGGCATATAAATGGATACGATGGGATGCAATGGAATCATTTGATGGATCAAAACCTATCAAATCATATATATTTGGTGGGATGAACATGCAGAACTGCCATCGATTTTGGCCTGAAAAAGCTTTTGACCCATAACAAGAACGTACAAGAACCATCTATGAAACTTGATTGTTGTTGTGGGGAAATCACGGAGGTTGCTATCCATTTTCGGGGGGTTTCTATAGGTTTCCTGTAGATTGTGAACCTATAAACTTTGCATTCAACTAAGAGAACAGGGTATATGAAAGGGTGTAAATGTCACTATATATGTATATATAGTTATGTATTATATATATAGTTATGTATTATATATATATGTATTATATTATATTATATTATATTATATTATATTATATTATATTATATTATATTATTTATTATATATATATGAGTCGGATATACCTCAACAGATCCAAAGATCTGAATCATTGCTGAATAGCTGTCCAACCTTGTCCAATAGCCCGTATAGACTTTTTTCTGCCTAAGCTGGATCAAAGCCTGGATCGAACGCCACGTTTTCTACAGAAGAAATCAACAAAATACCCATATGCATCTGATGGAAATAGATGCCTAAGATTACAGGATGGGGCCCCAGTTCGTGAACGCGCCCCAGTTCGTGAACATAACCATGTCATAACAAGTTGGTGTATGATACGTATAGTTGGTGAACATAACTGTATAACTAAGTTGGTGAACATAACTATTAGTTTATAATAACTATAACAACTATTATAACTTATAACTATATTTAGATGGGCTTGTAAACCAACTTATACATCACTGGGGGGTTCCCAGAGCCCATGCCTGTAGATCGCCATCACAGAATCCCGGTGCGAAGATTTTTTTAGGGGTGAATATGATCAATTGATAAACATGAAAAATCAGGTGATTGATGATTAATTGATGATTATTTTCCAGGTGATTGATGATTAGAAATAAATTTGCCATAAGGTGTTTAGCCTCTAGATTAAGTGAGAGTAAGTGATGATCCATTTACACTGGGACACTGGGATATCCTGCTCACCAAGCAGGATGATTCAATGCCGAGCCGCGTGGTTTTTTTCGGTCACACAGCGAAATGAGGTTTGAAATTGGTCCCATTGATACCAGGTGCTCATGGTTGTTGAACACTGTTTTTCTCAACTGAAAAAGCAAAACACATCCAAGTTGCAAGGTTAGGCCATGAAGAAATGCCATGAATAAAGATATAATGTGGACTAATGTGGTAAACCGATGATATAATTGACCATCCCCACTCGAGGTTTATCTTTGCGTATACCCCCTATTTGAGACGCTTGAACATGACCTCCAAATGGTTGGTTACTAGGATAGGTTTATCATTGGGTTCACCTCGTTAATGTAGCTGATCAGTCTTCAACACCCCTGCTGATTGATCATTATATTGGGCTATACTATATATATATATCCACATCTTCCAAATCTATCCAATATATTTAGGATTATCATGGATTATCACAATCCATGAACTGGGAAACTATTAATTAACCAGTACAAAGGGCCCATGCTCAGTTGTAGGTGCTCATTTGGATACTTTGATGTCCTGAACTGGGATGCATTACCTTGAAGCAACACATAGAAACTCTTTGCTGCTGTGAGGTTCCGCTTCTGACGGCTTCCCAGCAACAGCACTTCTTTTCAATGTCTGTATATAAGACATGTTTTGCTGCAAAATCTGCAATCATCAGCTATGAGTCCCATTAAATCAGCCTTAAATTAGTGAATGTTTTTGTGACTGTTGTGGAGCGCCGAGTTGGTGAGTTGGTGAGGCGGTTTCTCTCCATCGTTGCGTTAATGTATGTTAATGTCAAATGGACTCTTTCTTGTGGGATTGTGTGACCATGGTCAAGTCCCTTTGGTGGTTTGAAATTGTTTGTAGTTCACATGGGGATGGGTCAAAACCCTGGTACCTAGTGAACATCAAAATAGCTGGTAAATGGATGTTCATCCCACTAAAAATGTTATTAATAGGTATTGACCCATCCCCACATGTTGTGATGAATTGTGTAAAATCATATTCTTCGATTTTGGAGTGTAGAAATCCAGATGTTTCCAACTTTTGGTGACAAGTCCCACGAATTCAACGATAAAAGTGTCGCTATCATTACAATTGTTTCCAATATTGTTCAACAATGAAACACTTATCAACTTCTGTATTCATATCAATAACATATCAATTGTGATTTCACTGAATTCTTTTCATGAAATATCAGCCATTCTGCCATAAAATATTTATAATGTAGCAACTTGATATTCATATCAATTGTTTCCATTCTGAAATTGTGATCCGTTGCGGGATCCTGCAGGATCCCGGGATCCCTTTGAGTCTCATCATGGCTTTTTTTATACTCCGATAAATATGAAAGGGGTAGGATTGGACCAGCATAAAAAAACAATTAATATACCATTAATTATATTGAGGATACTTGAAAAATTATAAAGATACTAATTTTCATGGCGGTTACTAATTATATGACTTTCCAACCATGAAAAACCATCTTTACCGAAAAACCCCACGATGTCACGGCGTCGTTTCGACGTTGATCTACTGTTAGACTTGTTCATCTCCGCCAAGGCCTTCAAGGCAGCAGATTTGTGAGACCATATTTCTTTTGCTATTCCATTCTTATTTCAATGGATTGGTTTAAGGGAAAATATACAGGAAAGCCCCATGATCTTCATGTGAAAATCTATGGTTTCCGGTTAAGATTTTCCCTTAAACCAATCCATTGATTATTCCCAGATGTTTGATAGTTGAAATTCCAGTCAATGATGGGATTTATAAATCCCAAAGGAAACCATGTTAAACAGTAGGAAATCAAATCACATATTTGGGAACATGCAAAGGGGGTGTTTATTTTTGAACAAGTGACGGGATTTATATAATCTAATTAATCCCATGACAATACCAATTAAATCCCATTCAAAATTATAATCACAACCGTATTCACCTTTTTATGTGGTAAACTGAATGCCGGAAACCATCCCATTAACCAACCATAAAAGGGTGTCATTTACATCATTCATCCCTTTACTAGGATTACTAGGAGTATACCTAATAATAGACATCTGGTGAATGGGGCATTAGGTTTGCCACATTATTTTTTCGCGGATTATCAACGGAAGTTTGAAGGAACTTCCGTGTTACGGATATTTATGATGGCCAAGACTGAAGGAATGAATTGAATGAATTTGACTTGAATTGAATGAATTGAATTGAATTGAAGTGTGTGAAAGCTTTCTGTGTGCAAAAGCTTTTCTGCGTAAAATCTGGCTGTGTGTGAAAGTTTGATGTGTGTAAAAGCTTCTGTGTGTAAAAGCTTCTGTGTGTAAAAGCTTCTCTGTGTAAAAGCTTCTTTCTGTAAAAGTTTGCTGTGTGTAAACGCTTCTGTGTGTAAAAGCTTCTCTGTGTGTAAATGCTTCTCTGTGAAAGGGCTTCACTGTGTAAAAGCTTCTCTGTGTAAAAGCTTCTCCGTGTAAAAGTTTGCAGTGTGTAAAAGCTTCTGTGTAAAAGCTTCTCTGTGTGAAAGCTTGCTGTGTGTAAAAGCTTCGCTGTGTAAAAGCTTTCCGTGTGTAAAAGCTTTTCTGCCTAGGAGCTTCTTTGTGTCAAAGCTTGCTGTGTGTAGAAGCTTCTCTGTGTAAAGGCTTCTTTGTGTAAAAGCTTCTGTGTGTAAAAAAAAATCTGGGCGAAAGCTTGCTGTGTACAAAAGCTTGCTTTGTGTAAAATCTTGCTGTGAATAAAAGCTTCCCCAACTCTGTGTAAAAGCTTCTGCGTGCACAAGCTTCTGTGTGCAAAAGCTTGCTGTGTGTAAAAGCTTCTCTGTGTCAAATCTTTTTTGTGGAAAGCGTAGGGGTTGCTTGCTTTGGCGCCGAGATCCGTTTTGGAGCAGGTTTTGGGCCAGAGAAACCGTGAGATGATTTGAGAGTGCGCTGAGAAGAGCTAAGATGAGGTGAGACGAGCTGACAAGAGCTGAGATCAGCTGAGTAGATGTGTGAAGAGCTCAGGAGATGTGAGAAAAGGAGAGAAGAGATGAGAACACATAAGATGAGCTTACATGAGCTGCGGAGAGTTGAGAAGAGTTGAGAAGAGCTGTGAAAATTTGAAAAGCTGAGATAAGCTGAGATGAGAAGAGAAGAGATGAGAGAAACTCAGGTGACATGAGAAGAGATGAGAACAGGTGTGATCAGCTGAGAAGAGCTGAGAAAGGGAGAGAAGACATCAGATGGAATGAGATGAGATGAGGTGAAAAAAATCTGAAAACATGAGATGAGTTGAGATGAAATGGGATGAAAAAGAAGGATGCAATGAGCAATTTCCAAGAGAAGCTGCGATGCGATGAGATCAGATGAAATGAGACAAGATTCAACATCCGAAAGACTTGGCATCAGATTGACAAGTCAAGAGATTGTTGCTGCGAGACACAGGAGGCTTGCCTGTCACCTTTTGGCACAGCCTTTGCTCCGCTCTATAGGCTATAAGCGTTTCAAATTTGAGACTTCCGCCCCCGGCTTGCCCGGGTACTACTTGTAACCCCGGCAACGAACCAGTTGCCATTCGTAGGATGATCCTCCAAGTATTAAGCAACCAGTATAAACGGAGGAGTTTACAAGCTGGGATGATCACGGGATGAATTCGAACATTCGAAATTCCATTCTATTTCAATTAGGCCCCCATTGAATCCCCTTAAATCCCATTAAATCCCTTGAAACCCCATTAAACCCCATTAAATCCCATTACATCCTATTAAACCCCATTAAACCCCATTAAATCCCTTTAAATCCCATTACATCCTATTAAACCCCATTAAACACCATTAAATCCCTTTAAATCCCATTACATCCCATTAAACCCCATTAAACGCCATTAAATCCCTTTAAATCCCATTGCATCCCATTAAACCCCATTAAACCCCATTAAACCCATTAAATCCCCTTAAATCCCATTACATCCCATTAAACCCCATTAAACCCCATTAAATCCCTTTAAACCCCATTAAATCCCTTTAAATCCCATTACATCCCATTAAACCCCATTAAACGCCATTAAATTCCTTTAAATCCCATTGCATCCCATTAAACCCCATTAAACCCCATTAAATCCCTTTAAACCCCATTAAACCCCATTAAATCCCATTACATCCTATTAAACCCCATTAAACCCCATTAAATCCCTTTAAATCCCATTACATCCTATTAAACCCCATTAAACCCCATTAAATCCCTTTAAATCCCATTACATCCCATTAAACCCCATTAAACCCCATTAAACCCCATTAAATCCCTTTAAACCCCATTAAATCCCTTTAAATCCCATTACATCCCATTAAACCCCATTAAACGCCATTAAATTCCTTTAAATCCCATTACATCCTATTAAACCCCATTAAACCCCATTAAATCCCTTTAAACCCCATTAAATCCCTTTAAATCCCATTGCATCCCATTAAACCCCATTAAACCCCATTAAATCCCTTGAAACCCCATTAAACACCATTAAATCCCATTACATCCTATTAAACCCCATTAAACCCCATTAAATCCCTTTAAATCCCATTACATCCTATTAAACCCCATTAAATCCCTTTAAATCCCATTGCATCCCATTAAACCCCATTAAACCCCATTAAATCCCTTTAAATCCCATTGCATCCCATTAAACCCCATTAAACCCCATTAAACCCCATTAAATCCCCTTAAATCCCATTGCATCCCATTAAACCCCATTAAAAACCCCATTAAATCCCTTTAAACCCCATTAAATCCCTTTAAATCCCATTACATCCCATTAAACCCCATTAAACGCCATTAAATTCCTTTAAATCCCATTACATCCTATTAAACCCCATTAAACCCCATTAAATCCCTTTAAACCCCATTAAATCCCTTTAAATCCCATTGCATCCCATTAAACCCCATTAAACCCCATTAAACCCCATTAAACCCCATTAAATCCCCTTAAATCCCATTAGATCCCATTAAACCCCATTAAACCCCATTAAATCCCTTTAAACCCCATTAAATCCCTTTAAATCCCATTGCATCCCATTAAACCCCATTAAATCCCCTTAAATCCCATCACATCCCATTAAACCCCATTAAAGCCCATGAAATCCCTTTAAATCCCATTGAACCTCAAATTGGGTTTACCATACAATGTGAGGCCCCCAAGATATAAGTTGGTTTATAAGCCCCAGTAGCTATAGTTTTAAATACCATAAACCATAGTTATTGGAGTTATAAACCAACTTAACTATCTTGGGGGCCTCACATTGTATCTCATGAAGTCTCCCAACCCCGGGGTAACCGAGGGCCTCTCCAGTAGGTGAGGCCTTGTGCCTTGCGTATCCACTTCGTTCGCTTGCAACACCAACTGCTGATGGCACCGGGACCTACCGGGACATACCGGGACCACAGGGAAAAACCACCGGGGATAGCCTGAAAAATTTGAAACCCATGGCGATGTCCTAGGAAAAACATGGAAAAACTATGAAAACTGCAGGTTTATATGGATAATCACAGGATAATCTGGGATATACATGGATATACTTTTACTTTTATAAATCCATGAATTTAGCCTCTGGTCATTTGTTTCAGTCTGCGAGCTGGAAGTCACGGCCCATTGCTAGTTCGATGATTTGCTGTTTGTGTAAAGTGGTGATGTTCCATGGCACGATGCTAAATTACATTAAATTACCAGGGGGTAACCCAGGTGATATATTATATATATATAACATTATATAACCAACCATCATGGACATCATGGGGATGTGATAGGATATCATGGGATATCTATAATTAACCAACGATTATATTTGGGCCGTGGACCTAACAATGGTGGAAACTATTTTTAACACATCGATAATCTAACTGTTTATTTTCATATGGTCCTTTTTTTTCTGTGCCCCCTTTCGATGCCTGGGTCAGGGAATCTAAGGTTTGCATCATTTTTCTGGTGAAACATCACCTGGCAATGGCGGTCAAATAAGTGTATCATAAAACAAATACCCATAATCGGTTTTCAGAGTGACTGGTCAGACTGGACAATTTTTTGGCCAGCCAGTTGTGGGTCAACTCCAAGTCATGTTCAGTTTGAGCACTTTGTGAAACTAATCCTACATGATCCTGCCATGGATATAGGGATGGGTCAAGTTACCTATGAATTTACCATATTTGGGGGAAAAAACACCCATTAACCAGTTATTTTAGCGTGCTTTGGGTACCAGGGTTTTGACCCGTAACCATATGTTCTTGCTGGCCGGTTGTTTGATATTTTGCTAATATTGTCATCTTGCTCCTCGCTATATTGATTATATTGAGCCAAAAGTAGATACAATCCCCATCGACTATCAGTATGCTCAACCACAGTATGAACACCACAGCGTTCTCCAGTCGGTTGTAAGAACACTAGGCCTCGTATCACAGGTATACAGATGACGATATAATCACAGGTATATAGATATATATAGATGATATAGCCAAGCACATCATAGAAATATCACAGGTTTTGGAGAGATTGTAACAGCCTCACCTTGTATCTTCATGTTGCTTACCTACAAGGTGGGGCCCCCCCAGTTATAAGTTGGTTTATAAACCCCATTAACTATAGTTATAAGTTATAAGTATTATAAACCATAGTTATTGGAGTTATAAACCAACTTAGCTATCTTGGGGGGGGCTCCACTTTGTACCTACCCGTTGTTACCCCAAACCGCGGTTCTGAAAACAAACACGTCAGGCAGCCCGTGATGATGATGCACCTGCGGTGACTCAACTCCATGGCCTAAGGAGGGCTCATGTCTACGTTGCGTTGCCATCCCATATTGGGAATCTACACAGGATGGGTATAATATGTGGTTAATATATGGTTAATAGATGTTAATATAGGAATATGATGGAAAATTCGAGGATGGTTATGATGGATATCAAGGATGGATATCAATGATGGATATCATTATATATACCCTCTGGTAAACTAACATAGCTATGGAAAATCACCATGTTTAATGATAAAACTCACCATAAATGGCCATTTTCAATAGCTATGTTAGTTTAACAGAGGGTAAAAATCATCCCAAAATCCCTATGATTGGATTGATGATCATCTCCCCTGGGAAAAAAAATGATGTTACCATGATTATGGCGGACAGATTTTTTCCCAATGGTTGTTTTTTCTAAAAAGACATCGATTTGGAACAAAATGTGATGTGGGTATGGGTCAAAATTAGGTACCCCAATAATTGGATGGTGAATGCTAAACGAGACTAACATCTGTGGTCCCCTAGGTCTTCCATTTTGACCCACATCCATGTTGGATCCTGATTAGTGTTGGGCCCCCCCAAACATATGAAGGTGCCTCTTTAGGCTAGTAACTTTTGAAGGGTCGGGGTCTGAATGATTTTGGATCATGATCTTAAGTAAAGATTTCAATTGATTTCAATTTATTTTCAATTGATTTCAATTTACTTTCAATTGATTTTAGTTTACTTTCAATTGGTTGAAATTTACTTTCCATTGATTTCAATTTAAGTTTAATTGATCTTCAATTGATTCCAATTTAGTTACGTTTGAATTTATGTTCAATTGATTTTAATTTAAGTTTAATTGATTTCAACTTACTTTCAATTGTTTTCAATTGATTTCAATTTAGTTCGAATTTATTTTCAATTGATTTCAACTTACTTTCAATTGACATCCCATAGTTATCCCATAAACATATCATAGAACTATCATGGAAACCCCATAGGAAGCCCAAAGAAATCCCATAGAAACATCATAGAAATCCCATAGACATTCTTTTGAAAATCCATAGGAATCCCATAGAATTACCATCGACATCCCTTGAGAAATTCCTATAGAAATATCATAGAAACACCATAGAGTTTCCATAGACTTCCCATAGATTGGTTTTTTGAAACCCAATAAAAACACCATAGAAATCAAGGAGAGGATGCCTGGAGAATTGAACTGAGTTAGAGACAAAAGCTATAGCAAAGGAAAGGAGAAAATAATTTTAGAAAAAAACGCTTCAAAAAGAACTGGACACAATAGACTAGAGGGCCCCCAGAACAAACATACTATTGAAGATCAGGGTTGCTCATGGGCTACCCCCTCGAAAAAAATGTTTGGGTGCTGTTTATTTCATGGGATTTTGATAAGGAAGTTACTATGTTGTTTTTTGGGCTCAAATGAATTAATTGTTTTTTTGTATGTTCAAAAACATGTTGCAAAATATAGTTAATTATTCATTGTAAACAAAATCTGAAAAAATGAAAAACTGCCAAAGAACACGAAAAACATGCATCAGAAAAAAACATTTGACACAATACCGATCCACCCCAACCATTACATTGGGTCAGAATTATTTTGGTAAAACTTGGCACAACAGCGTCCCATTGCACTAGTCAGGATACCACATTAAACTCCAACCTGGCTCGTTTTGGAGTGTTTTATGCTAGTCTAGAGTGGCTACATCTGGTGAAAATTGGGAGTGTTGTTTGCCATCAGGTTTACCGGATTGGAGGGGGTTCTATATGTAGGGGATGATTGCACAGTATTTGGGAACGATTCCAGAGTATTTGAAAAGGGGTTTATGAAGATTCAACTAATCAATCCACCAATGATTGAAGCTATAAATATATAATATAGCCAACCGTGGTTTATTGGAGATGGCTATACTATAATCGTTACATTTATATAGTTAAACCTGACCACATGATAAACACATACTCCACAAAGCGGGTTTTTCTAACCCTTCAGGGAATTCTCATTCCAGGGAAAAAAACATCAGAATCAGAATCCGGGTTTTCTTCGCATCATAGAATCTAATGAGGTGGTTGATTGCACACTGACCTATCGGAAGTCTGTTCTCTGCCCCAACTGTGGCACAGTGTTGTTTGGGAAAGCCGTGACTCGAAAATCGAGTCCCATGGAGGTTGTGAAAAGGGTCAAGTCGTCCCAGAGTTCCTCCGGGGGTGTTTGTTGGTTCCACACGGAATGACCAAAAACTGGAGACGCGTCACTGGGATGATGGGAATTGGACAGGCGTCACTGGGATGATTCCCACTTGACTTTCCCATCTTTGGCACAGCTGCAAACTTTGTGAAAAAGGAAGGTTCTTGGTTCAATCTTCCGGGCCACTTGTGTTTCTTCGGATTTTTCATGGAAAACCAGCGTGTTCCCTGTGCTTTATCATCATGTTTCCTGTTTCACCAGTTGGAACAAGTAGCCTCATCTAACATAGCCATTCAACATAGCTATGTCATGCCATGTCTAAGAGGTACCCTCTGGTTATTTAACATAGCCATGGAAAATCACCATTTTTAATAGGTAAACCATCTATAAATGGGCCATTTTCCGTGGCTATGTTAAATTACCAGAGCGTAAATCATTTTAACACTGTTCCATGTCTATGCCTAAGCTAAATTTTCACAGAGGCTATCCCTCACAGAAGACGTAGAAACCAGGGCAGGGCTTGTCTGAAAATATCTCGAAAACCACAAACTCACAAACCATTAATTTAGATAGCTAGGTCATGTATAAATCTGTATAAATGGGACATGGCAAAGTCATGGCAAAGTGTTACCCTCTGGTAAACTAACAGTTTGCGAACTTGAAAATGGCCCAGTCGAAATAGTGGATTTACCCATTAAAAATAGTCATTTTCCATAGCTATGTTAGTTTACCAGAGGGTAACACTAGAAACCATTTCTAATGGGAAAATTCACTATAAATAGTAATTTTCCATAGCTATGTAACAAATTACCAGAGGGTGCCATGAATTCTCCCATGGGGCCCATGGGGCCCTCACCTCCTCTCTCCCGCCGAGATCATGATTCCACTGAATGGACCACCTTACCACGAGCCTAGGAGGCGGAGAATTTTCGCCCATGATCTGATGTGAGCATTGTGAGCATGTCAAATACAATGTGAGGCCCCCAAGATATAATTATAAGTCCCAGTAACTATAGTTATAAAATGTTATAAATACCATAAATCATAGTGACATTGGAGTTATAAACCAACTTAGCTATCGAACGGGGGCCTCACATTGTAACTTTTTAAGCATCAAACATAAGGATATGATTGGGAGAGGCTTGGCTTTTTTCGAAGTGGCTGGTGGTACTTGGCGGTTTCAACCTGTTTCAAAGATGTCACGGCCAGTCATGGTTCCTGAGGCGTCAATGGCGCCCATAAACTATCCCCAATAGAGGTTCTTGAGTTGAAATTGGTTAAGTTATATTGAGTTCAATAAGTTGAATGGCATAATAGAGGTTTTAATGTTTCATATCAGTCTATTATGAACCTATTTTTCACAATGGTTTCATTCATGTTTCATTAAATGAACCTATGGTTCAAATATCTATAACAGAGGTTCAATGTTTCAATCAATGGCACTGAAATTGCCTATCTCATATCAGTTTTGGGATGATTGTCGTCATGCCCGGTGGCATCCTGGTGAGCCATCCCGAAAATTTCATGATTTTTTTTAGCTCAGATATATAGCCTCTGGTTATGACGAACATGGCCATGGTTTTTCGATGGCCCCAATCGAAATAGATGGTTTCCCGTTCTTAAAAATGGTGGATTTTTCCATGGCGAACTGTTAGTCATAACCAGATGGTAATATATGAATGCCATAATTATACTCTTTGAGATGGAACTGTCAACGAGTTGGATTGTAATTTTTGAGGCTTCATGCCGTGAGTTTCCAGTCGGGTCCGGAATTCCCCACGTTTTTTATCCAGCTTGGGATTGGACAATCCCATGAAAATCCATGTTAAATACACAGAGCCAAGTTCCTATACCAACGCGGACATGAAGTTTCATCTGCATATCTGCCCTGTTTCTGGATGGATGGTGGAGAAACACCTCCGAAATTCAACCAAAATCAACGGGCAAGTGGGTGTTCACTAGATTTTTTTGAAGTGAGCGCATTTTAGCAGAATGAAAGTGGCCTGTGTTTTTTGGAAATGCTTTGTGCATGTTTGTGACAATCCTTTATGTTTGCGAAATGTCTATGGTATCACCATGCAAACCATGGGAACAGGATGTACTGTATTTGATTGATTGAATCTGATTTCTGATTCCTGACCTGCTGTTTTTTTGCTGATTGGTGGTTTGGAACATTCTTTATTTTTCCATATATTGGGAATAATCAACCCAACTGACTAATATTTTGCAGAGGGGTTGAAACCACCAACCAGTTTGTTTTGAGAGATTTTATAGCATTCAAAGCCCAATTTTCCAGTTAGTGGAGTCAACTTGAGTCAACGGTATTTTTTTTGTTTGCAACTGCCCATAGTTTACAAGCTGAACAAATGAACACGTGTGTCTTTGAATGCACATTTGCTGGTTGTCGATTCATCGCCGATGACAAACTCATTTTTGGGTTGACTCATTTCTTGATATATGGTTGACGACCAGATTGTTGGGTGTGATCATTCTTGGTTTATAACACTTTCCAAAAAGACACATCAGTAAAATATTCATAACATGCATTTAATCCTTTAAACTTTTGTAACTACATATCTCTGCTGGGATTTAGTATACCTGGACGTCCAAATGTATGTCCTGGTTTTAGGTGTTGAAGGCACTTGAGGTAGTTATAGCGCCCATTTTTTGAGGGTTGCTATACATGACTTTGTATTACCAATCATGAAATCGGATTAGATCACCATATACTGGTTCAATCCAACCAATCAATGCTACACTGCTGTTGGTTTAGGGTTATCTAACCATGGATTTATGTTTAGTTTGTGGAAATTTATGAAGATCGCCCTAACTCTAGGATATTATATGGGTTTGTTTGCAAGAATTGAAACAAATGGGTAACCCATTCCATCCAATGCAACAAAAGTCATCATTTTCCCTGTTCAACTTGATGTTTGAAGGGCTTAAGTAATTTTCACACAAACATACACCAAGTAGAATCCCTAGATAGCAAAGTTGGTGCAAATAACTCCAACAGCTATGGTTTATGGTAAGTCTAACATATTATAACTATAGTAACTAACCATAGTTATATAGTGGGGCTTACAAAGCAACTTATAATATAACTGGGGGGCCCATTGTTTCACATGCCAGGCCGTCTCCGGTGGGTGCCATGAGGGTTACGGTGGCAACGTGGATGGCATTAACGATGAAACATATAGTACCAGGTGAGGCCCACAAATGAAATCGCTAAAAAAAAACGACTGGGTATGGTTTGGGTTTTTTATTGGGGTAATTAATCACAGTGATTTGATAGTTGAGGTTTAAAAACGGAGCTTAGCCTAAGCAGCTTATTTTTGTTGCCCTTTCAGGAATCTCACCTTTCAGGGAATGAAATCTATCTGAGACGCGAAACGGGGGTGTTTCATATATGGATGGGTATTCCCAGTCTGGAGATAACCCAGTCTGAAGATAGACACATGAAATCCTATACTAACATACTCATATCATCGCCATATGTTTTCTCTATCCTAAAGAGTGGGCAGTGAATCAAGAGAATTATTTAACCAAAAATCCAGAAATGGTTAAGGGATGCTTGGGATATAGCTGGATTTTCACCCAGTCCAAAAGTCCAAACATAGGTGTCCAAATGCACACAGGACACGGGCCAAACAGTTGATAATCTCGGGTTTTTCATCAAAGGTGGATGGAAAATCAGTGAGAAATGGAGTATTTGAAGAGGAATACATGGGGAAATCTGGAAAATTCCTCCATAGAGGTTTCTAGCTTGGACAATCATCGAACTAAATGGGGGATGTTCCAGCTCCTCGGACCGTAGCCATGAATGATACCACAAAGTATAAATTTAGGAATGCACTTCCACTGAATGAGTAGGTATGTCTAAAGCTGTGAGGTTATTTTTCTATTTTTTGGTTATAGCCATGGAAACTACCAAGGGCCACCCACGACGAGGTAAATTCCATGAAAATCTCCCATGATAAACCCAGTATATCCCAATTTTGGGACGGGTTTCATGCCTAGTTTGGTGATTTTTCCCCCAATGAACTAAGGACATCTCGGTCGCCGATATGAAGCATCAACTCTTCCACGTGCGAGGTACGGTGGGAGTGCCCAAAAAAAAACATGGGATTCATTGAGAAAAAAAAGACCCATTTCATTGGGGATTATGGAGGTAAATTCCATGAAAATCTCCCATGATAAACCCAGTATATCCCAATTTTGGGACGGGTTTCATGCCTAGTTTGGTGATTTTTCCCCCAATGAACTAAGGACATCTCGGTCGCCGATATGAAGCATCAACTCTTCCACGTGCGAGGTACGGTGGGAGTGCCCAAAAAAAAACATGGGATTCATTGAGAAAAAAAAGACCCATTTCATTGGGGATTATGGATGATTTATGAATGTTTTTCGATGGTTTATGGGTATAATTCATGGCATATATATATATATTATGTATATTTTATTACTATATGATGGATTGTGGATTATGGGATTCATATAGTACATATATATATAATATTATATAATGGTATATATACATATATAGTGGTAATGTACTATATATATATTTACATATACAAATGTTTATGCGTGATCATAAAATGAACATATCCCATTATTTACCCATTTATTACCATGCTTTATGTCCCATTCATGGTCATAAAAAATGTCCAGCCGTGTTTTTGAGGGCAATTTCGAGGGGATACGATGACGAGATATGCCAGCGGGATCCAAACAGCTATCCTGCGAGTTGGGAAAATCCATGGAAGTTGCCAGAAGGGATATGCCAGATTTCGTCGATTTATCATGATATCATCCCATAATCCATCATATAGTAATAATATGTAATAATATAGAATATATATATAATACACATATATATATGTAGACACATAGTATAGTATTTATATATAATATGCATATGCATATATATATAACAATATATATATATATCTCATCTATATCCAAAGTTTTGACGCCATTGGATCTTGTTGAAATCTTCCAGCGGCGAGGCATTACACTGAGCGTCAATGGTTCCAAGCTCAGCAACCGGAACCGGGTAACTTTTCCCAGACACGGGATAAAGGTCAGCCGCAAAAGAAATACACATATCTGGGTAAATTATAACGACCTCACTGCGACCTCACTGGAAATCATGGTTAATAAGGGAAATCATCCCCAAATGGTCTTAATTCAGGTTCGCCAGCTGATCAAGGAATGGAAGGTTCAGAATAGATGGGAGCAGCCTAGGGACATCGATGACACAGAACTAGAGCATTGCGTATGGAGCTATCAATGGGCAGTTGCACTCTTGGAATGGATACAGACATGTCATTGGCCTGAACAGCCAGTAGACAATGACCCTGGCATCTCTTGGACGGAAATCGCTCTTGCTTTAGCGATCCAACAAGGACATTGGCTCCCTGTCAAACGGGAGCGATCTGGCAGGTTTTTCACCATGCAGGCGATTACAGAAGCTGACTTGTTTGACTTGCAGTTGACACTGATTGAGCAAGCCACCAGTGCATATAACCTCATGTGCCAACTCAAAGGACTGATAGTGCAGGAGCTACTCCCTGCAGGATGTAAATTCGGAAAATGCTAGTCAATGTATATCCAGGGTTACAAAGCATGGACCACTGGCCTATCAATGAGGCCGCAATTTTTCTCACAGGACATCGTCTTTGACACTCTACATGAATATCTTAGCTTGGGACATGACGGACTTACAAAGCTGCCGAATATCCAGCTCTCTTTTGAGGATGAACGTTGGCCACATGACCTTCAGGTTTCTGACTTTGCTGAGAAGACAAGGGTATCCAGGTAAACAAAAGAAAAAGCCAGTGAGGCTGACTGGCAATGGGAAGTGCTATCCTTATTGAATTCATTTTTCTAGGTATTGTGGTGTGTCCACGTCTTTGCCTTTTCACATCGGACATGCTCCTAACACAGGAGCCGCATGCAACATTTTCTGCCCCTTTGCACTGCTGGGGGGTGGCATAAAGGTAACGAGCAACAACGGTCTTAATTCAGATTAGTGAAATATGACTAATATGACTAATATGACTCTATGACCTTATGGATAGGGGTGAGTTAATTCATCCCCATGTGCCTTGAGGGCTTTAGGGGTGAACATTATTCCCCTTTTGCCCCCTTCAAAGGGCCTTAGGGTCTACCTGATTCTGTTGTGGGACTCACGTTACAAGGTGCCGCCCCCGGTGATTTTTGTTGGTAGACATAATCCCCCTTAACTTTTTGGACATAAACACTGGTGATACCACAGTTCTTGGAGTTGTAAACAAACTTAGCAAACAAAAACTATAGATTGGCACCAGCCTGTAACTTCCAAGGGCATAAGTCATTCATGGAGTTCGTGAAGTTGGCGTTGCGCTTGCGGCACTTGAGCCAAGATCCGCAGCATTTTTTATCCAAGCAATCATTGGGAAATATACCCGAGGTAATTAAACATGGCAATGGACATTGATCATGGTGAAATTTCCATTACTGTAAAGCCTTCATTTATAGGGGATTTTCCATTTCCACGTTTGATTACTGGAGGGTATCTTGTTTTTTTTTCTGTTTCACATCTAAATAATTAAATACGACTATAGAATTCCCCAACACATCATGAGATCCTGCCATTTTGGTTGATGATTTAATCATGCCCAACTTTCCATCTAGGATTTTCGAGCAAATCAAACCTAAGTAGATGAAATTTAAGAGCTTGTATCAAGGATTTGGGGTAGTTGAGCTGGTTTTGGCTGTGCCATCATTTTGCTGTGAGCTTCGATTACATACCCTCGGGTAAACTAACATAGCTATGGAAATCTATGGGTGTCAAAAGGAAACAATCTACTTTCATTGTGGATTGTCCATATCTATTTTAGCCCACTGGTATCCTTAAATTGAATCTGAGGTCCTTGGGTGGACTGTTGCGGTCTCTACGTCCCTTGGAGCTGAACCGTTAGAGTGATTGTTCTTGTATCCCCGCGACATATACTCACTGTTTAATGAGGTTGGATCAAGATGAGAGGGCATTTTCCATTGTCAAACCACAAGATTGGCAGTGGCCCCAAAGACACTTGGCCCGAGACAATGGCCACATAGGACCACATCACAAGGGGAGAAGTAGCCATATCCTCCATATCAGTGAGTAGGGATGGTCGCAAGATACTGCAAGGAAGCCAACCTAAAGGAGCAGTGTCCAAAACCCCGGTTGGTTGATGATCAGTTCGGGGATTCTACCAATATTTCATGGGGACTATCACATTAGGGGAATCCCTATCAAGTTACATTTCGTAACTTCATGGAGGTGTGTCGATAAAATTTCACAAACCATGGCAACTATCAATTCTGGAATGAATCAATGCTGACAGATGTTCGGACATTTACCCTCCGGTAAACTAACATAACTATGGAAAATCACCATTTTTCATGGGAAAACTCACTATAAATTGCAATTTTCAATAGCTATTATAAATTACCGGAGGGTATCCTTCAATTCTGACATATGTCATATGCTCCGAAATATGTTCTGACACACAAAAAAACGGGCAAATATTCTGACATATAGTTTGACATGCAGGCTGACATTTGCTGGTGCAAAATTCATGTGGCAAAAAAATCCTGACATCTTCTGACAGGATCCTATACCGTCACCACCTGTCAAGATTCCCTCAGTTGAGGAGGCACATCCATGGGTTAAAACAATGAAAGACCAGCGCAGGGGGACTAGAACATGCTCTGAATTTGGTTTAGAACCGCCATGAATACTTTATGACCATATAGTTATATAATGTTATATAGTTATATAATATTATATAGTTATATAATGTTATATAGTTATATAATACTATATAGTTATATAATGTTATATATGTATATAATGTTGTATAGTTACATACTGTTATATAGTTACATAATGTTATATATGTGTATAATGTTATATATGTATCTAGTGTTTTATAGTTATATAATGTTATATATGTGTATAATGTTTTGTTATATAGTTTTATAATTTTTTTTTATATGTATATAATGTTATATAATTTTAAAATGTTATATATGTATATCATGTTATATATATATATACATATACAGTCGTTATAAGTACCATAAACATTCATATGGTCCAATAGTGCCTGGGCCTCAGGCACCCCCGCAGGGGATCGACAGCTTTGCTCCCAGCGACCCTGCCCCTGCGAGGGTCTGGCACCGGTGGGCCCATGGCGGGAGAGTTCAGCGGGATTTAATAGGGATTTATAGTGATTAAACCAAACACCAATAACAGCAATCAGCATTTTCAATGGGTAAATCCACTATAAATTGGACTATTTATGATTAGATGATTAGATATACCCTCTGGTAATGACTAACATAGCTATTGAAAATGGCCATAGAAATAGTGGATTTACCCATTAAAAACTGGTGATTTTCAGGGTCTATGTTAATTTACCAGGGGGTAACATGTAGTCGTGGTATTCAACAACAGAAAATAGGAATTTAATAGACATACCATGGAATTTGGCCATACATCAAATATATAGAATACATGTTTCTGGGTAAATTATAACGACCTCACTGTTCTCCCGAACCCTGGAATAATGGTTTGGATTCGGGGAATTATCCCAGAGAAACCGAAGTATTCAGGTTAGTGAATTATGATAATTTATCCAGACACATCGGCATCTTGGACAGCTTCATGGTTCAATTGGCTCATGACCTCCCACCTTTGAGATCCATCCAGTCTTGTGGTATCCAAAGGCTCGGACTCGCTCATTACATGACAAACATCGAAATCCCTTCCATCTAGTACAGGATGGGGCCCCCAAGATAGCTAAGTTGGTTTATAAGTGGCTTAACAATGGTTTATACTAGTAGATATAACTATAGTTACTGGGGATTATAATGGTTTATAAACCAACTTATAACTGGGGGGCCCCATCCTGTACCCTCTGGTAAAGTAACCTAGACCCTGAAAATTGCCAATTGTTCATATGGAAACTAATTTTCCAACCCCTATCTGCCAGGGTCTACGTTAATTTACTGGAGGGTAATAGGATCATAATAAGGATATAATAGGACTATAATGATGATATCATAGTAAGATATAGTAAGATATAGTAAGATATAGTACGATATAATAAGATATAGCAAGTATATATGATGCTTGTAATGTGGGAAAGCCAATGTCATACCTTTTTTTTGGATAGCGAAGAGAAAACGTGGCGCCATGTGTGGTGCTGGGGGATGATCGGATGATGCAACAGCTTTTGCAAAGCATCTCAGCTTGGAAATGAGACCCGCGAAAATGCCCATTGAAATAGTTGATTCACCCAGCTACAAAATGGTGATTTACCCAGCTACAAAATGGTGGATCTTTCCAGTTCGTTATCTAAACGTTCACCAGAGGGTAGAACCCCAAAGATTTGAGGATGTACGGATCATCTCGATCATGAACCGCTTTCGTCCAACTACATCCAGGCACTGCTAATCAGAATTAGAACTTATCCCATTATATAGCTTGCACTATCCGATATCCGATTGTTGTTTGGTCCGTTTGGTGATTTACTTTTTGTTGCTGAAAAATAATGGACAAATCCACAAATAGCATTCACATGCAAAAAATATATGATCAGTGCGCCCATCATCTAATGTCGTATTGCAGGTCGTTTTGCTTTGTCCTAGATTAGAGTGTTATACAGTTAATATACCTACAGATTTCATGATTCATAAGCATGTTCCAAAAAAACTCAGCAAAACAAATGTTGGTAAAGCCTAGGTATTTCATGTTATTTCTATATCCCCACAATCTAAAATGTATGATACCAACATGTGCAGCATGTTCCTTCAGGTCATGTTGGTCGCCCAATTTCTTAGATCACAAAGTGCTACCAAGCCATGCCCGGCGCCAGGCTGCTTTGAGTGCCCTGCCTTTTTCACGCGGACACGGGTGGACAAAGATGGGAATTCATCTGGCAGTTGAGAAAAATGCAAGGAACATTGGTGGACTTGGCCAGAAATTGTATCATAACTGGTTGGTGGTTTGGAACATAAAATTTATTTTCCATTTCATATATGGGATGTCATCCTTCCCATTGACTTTCATATTTTTCAGAGGGTACGTCAACCACCAAACAGATAATATTGTATATACTGTAATTTCACGTAATTTCATGATCACATAATAACGCATATTCTGGTGTTTTCATCAGCATAGTGTTTCGTGTTTTATCAACTTGGTCACTTGGTCTCCTTCGATCCAATTCTAGCAGGTTGTATAGCTTGAACAACGAACATGATACGTATCATGTTTTATCCAACATGCACACTCTCCAAGTACCTAGAACTAGCCTAGAACAAACATGAAACAATGCAATCTACCCTCTGGTAAACTAACATAACTATGGAAAAATCACCATTTGTCATGGTAAAAATCACTATTTCAATGGCCATTTTCAATAGCAAACTGTTAGTCATTACCAGAGGGTAATATATATATATATACCCACAATTTTGGAGTTACCACACGTCATGGCCACCTGGAGGGTTCAGTCATAAACTGGATGAGAATGGATCAGATCTTTGGTGGTTTCAACATATTTGGGTATATTTGGTTGGTGGTTTGGAACATGAATCTTATTTTTCCATGTATTGGGTATAATAATCCCAACTGACGATTTTTTTTTTTTCAGAGGGGTAGGTCAACCACCATCCAGATATGAACCAGCATACATTCAAGTGGATAGTCAAACTTGGAGGCCTTGAGAACCGACTTGAAAACATGGCTGGTGATCTGTTTTGTTTCGGGCGTCAGCTCATAAAACACATCTTCCCCATCGGTCTCCCATTTCAACATGCCATTGCTATCTGATAGCAAATTTCAATAAATTTCAAATAGCGAAACTGGCCATTTTGTCGAACAAAGAACTGACCAGTTGGGCAGTTGGTCGACCAATGCCCAACTGGTCCTGATGAAGGACAGGACTTGCCTGGCGACTTTTCAACTAGCTCATCCCCAAAATGCCGAACAGTTCTGAGTCATTTGATAAGTTGTACCCTCTTGTAATTTAACAGTTTGCTATTGAAAATGGACCATAGAAATAGTGCATTTACCGAACTTAGAAATGGTGATTTTCCAGTTCGCTATGTAACAAATTACCAGAGGCATTTTTGTTCATTCATTTTCTGAGATGCTGACAACGGTCTTCAAAAGTTTTCGGACCTCCGGCGGCTCAGGCATCATTTGTATTCGCGATGACGGTGTTGAGAGGCGATTCGCCCGCGAGACGTTAAGCCTTAAGGGATGGTCGAGGAAGTGCGTGAAGTGGAGGTTTCCTAAGCCATGGGGGTACCCCCAAATCTTCCATGAAATTTTAAACCATGATGGAATGATAAAATGATTTGGATTATCTATTTTCATGGTACATATGGTACCCCCAATAAGTCATTTATAGAAATTTTTAATCGATGGATCTTCCATGTTTTTTTTACCATACAGCGAGCGACCGGGGTACTCCCATGACTATGGAAACCCCCAAGTATAAATCCATTGAACTCCGATGAACATCCACAGCACCCCCCAGGTTGACGTTGCTGTGAAGGGCAAGGTTTTCACCAGGGTTTCGACATGCTGCATAACCATCCCCAAATCTGTGGATGTTGTTTCTTTTCTTGAAGTGTCTTCGCTATCTTCATTCAATGTTCAGACGAAGTGTCTGGAGAAGTTGTTTTATCCAATGAACAAAAAAGAAACAAGACATTGTTGAAATCGACATTTGATGGATACGATGCTAATATTCATACTGATCAATGGGATCCTACAGTACTGTATATCCATGATGGATCAAGGACGATCATGATTTCTTCCCCCATGATGTGGGCTTTCATGGCCTTTCCAGATCTATGTAAACGTTTACAGGCGTGTACCCTCTGGTAAACGTTTACATAACTATGGAAAGATCCACCATTTTGTAGCTGGGAAAATCAACTATTTCTATGGCCATTTTCAATAGCAAACTGTTAAATTACCAGAGGGTATATACTCTCATAACAACTATTCTTTCGGGTTGCTTGAAACTAACCGCCAGCTTTGTCTCGAACAGTTTCGGCATTCCCTTATCCTCAAGTAAAGAAACACGGCATTGAACAATCCCAATGGTTTTCTTGCCGGAAATCATTATGCATACATATTATGAATGGAAATTTGTGGGAACACTTGGATGTATATTTCCATTCTCATCTTTGGCAGAGGGTCACAACGCTTGGTGTTTTTTTCTCGTTCAGTATCTACGGCAAAGTTTCTTCTTTTGTGCCAGAGAAGTCCCCCGTGACCCGCCAGACCAAATGTCGTTGCGGTTCGTGCACAGAGCGAGACTTTTGGAGTGCCTTGGCTCAGCTCAGAGCTAACTGAGCTAATGCCGGAGAGAGCAATAGGTTTTGTTCGCCTCAAAAAATGGTTCAATGGTCATTCATTCATGTGGAAAATAGCGGGACACATGATGAAGCATCATGTTTTTTTTTATGTGTTTTTTGGATGGTCCCTGAAGTTTTCAGACAAACCCAACTTAGCTAATCCTTTTGATTTTAGGGTTGCCCCATACCCAAAATTCTGTACCTGATTTTGATTTGAACAAACAGATGAAGGAAATTGCCTGAAGATGCTTGGTGGGCAAACAGATCTCTGGTTGGTCGCTGATGTTAATGTGGTTGGTTATTTGTATGGCTACAACTATAACCATGGCATACCATGGCAAAATAACGCCAGAGGTTGAGATATATCTACTGATTAAGTGGAACTGCACTCCAAATACTATATAGCCTTCAGTAATCGAATTGTTGATGGGATTTACTGTATTTCTTTGTCATATGTTTCTCTTTTTTTTGACCTAGCGCGCCATAAATGATGGTTCACATCAAATTGAAACCGTGAATTTAATGGCGCTCCTTTTTTTGGATTTTGAGATAAAACACATGCTGTCTCAAAATCCCCAAAAAATCTGATCAGCCTTATTTAAATCAGAAAATTATTAATGCTGATCCATCAAATTTTGACTGTGAAAAATCTGATTCCATTTTTAATATTTTTCCCCACCAGGTCAGTGTCTCGCGTCTTTTGACAGAACCCAGGTACAGAATCCTTCGGCCATTCCAGTCCAATAATGTCCCACGATATCTCCATGGGGGTGATGCGATTTTCCCAGAAAAACAAAATACAGATTGTTGGTTATATAAATGTGTATATATACGTATATATTATATTATATGATATTATATAATATGATATTATATTTTTTTACATTATATTACATTATATTGTATTGTATTATATTTTATTAAATTATATTATATTATATTGTATTGTATTATATTTTATTATATTATATTGTATTTATTACTTTACATTATATTAGTTTATATTATATTATATTATATTATATTATATTGTATTATTATATTACATTATATTATATTACATTATATCATATTATATTTTATTATATTATATATATATTATATTATATATGTATTATATTATATTATATACATACACATATTATATATTATATATATAAATATATTATATATATATAAATAAATTATAGATATTGTATATATATATATTATATAATATGTATATATTATATATAATATAATTTATAATACAGGCCCATAATGTCCCCAATGTCCCCATAATATCAGTGTGTTTTTCCATACCGATCCGGGCCGTTTCCATTCAGACCGCGAAGCTTCCGGATGCACTGCACTTGGATTGTCTTCGTGGACGGTTTCTTGGCTCCGAACGTCATCCGGGGTCATCGCCGAACAAAATGGACATTTTAATGCCAAAATCATGAGAAGGTATGGAAAAATGAGGAAAAATGGAGGTGTTGATGCTAAAATCAGGGGAAGGTATGGGAAAACCAACTGTAAATGGAGGTTTATAGCTGGACACAAGAACTATAAATGGCTGCTTTTCCAGCTAGCAACGTTTGATTGCCAGCGGGCAAGCCTGACGTGACACATTTAATCTAGTAGAATGACACGAACCAATGCAATGTAATCTGATATCATACACATATTAATATTTATCAATTGGAAGCTATGCTTTAGCTCAAAGACCTAATTATTCCTCCTGTGTGGGCTTTGTTGATAGCAAAACCGGACTTCAAGACTGCAATGTTTTCCTTTGCACAATGTTGGTCAAGCAAAGCCCGCTTGCCCAGGTTTGCCAGAACAGTTTTTTTTTTTTGCCCCAGGGGTTACAATTCTGATTGGGTTTTCCATAGTATGAAGCTTTCCTGAAATGGGGGTACCCCAAGTTGTCATCCATTGATGGGATTTTCCTTGATTTTCCATTTTTTTGACCCCACTGTAAATTGGGGATCCCCATTTATGTTGACCCCCCGGTATCTATCATTACTCCGATGATAATTTTCAGTTCTAGGATGTCATGCTGTCCAGACAGACTATCCGATAGACTTAAGACATAAAAATGATGTGGAAATTGAGATTCCTTTAAGAAATCTTTGAACACACGTTGTTTGATTTCAATGTCAGTTTTAACAGGAAATTGAGATTCCTTCAACAAACCGTTGTTTGATTTCAATGTCAGTTTTAACAGGAAATTGAGATTCCTTTAACAAACCCTTGTTTGATTTCAATGTCAGTTTTAACAGGAAATTGAGATTCCTTTAACAAACCCTTGTTTGATTTCAATGTCAGTTTGTTGTGTTGTTGTTCTCGCTGGCAGCTCCAATGTTAAACGATGTTTGTCCTGTTGATATGTTATATGAGCGGGCTCGCAATCCCAATCAAGTCCCAGGTCCCATCATGGTGCCAGGTTGGTTAGTTCTAACTTGCTGGTGGTCATCAAAGAACACCAAACTTTGGTGAAGGCTAGCTAAATGTCTTCGTTTTTAGTGGATATATATATATATGCAAACATGAACTATCAATCCAAAATACATCAATATAGCAATGTACACCCATATTGCCATGAGTCCAAGAGTATATATGATTTGACCATGATCCAAGTAACCTCCATGAACTTCTGTTTACCACACCGACCCCTCTCGGTGTTTTTATCCTACAGTTCATTTGCTTAAATCACGTTTGTCACTGGGTCAACAGTGGATACTTAGGAAAAGTCATAATCAAATACTGTATATACAATATTGTACATATATATATATACACCTTAACACAACAAAATATATCTTTGGTTGTTTTAAGATGTTTTGAGTTACAGTTTTCTTATCCAATCATCTGGGATGACAATGCCAACCGGGCCAATCGATTTGAATATGGGAGTAAAACCACTAGTGATTGCGAGGCGTTCCAATGACCTATCCCATAGGATCCATGTATGCTATATATGGCAACATTTACCATCAATATACCCCCAATGTTAGCATATATACCATACATGGATCCTATGGGTATAGGTTCCTTAAGCAATTGCGAAAACCCATAGGAATCAGGCTGATCATACTCCATACATCTCCATACCCCATGGATTTCCAAGAGGTTCTTGACACTGATCACGTGGCTTCATACTCATTTCCGTCTTGGTAAACTATCAGTTCAAATAATTTTAGATATAAATTTATTTACCAACACAAACCATAATAATATGTATGTATATATATATATATGTGTGTCATTTATAATTTATACACATACACCCTCCTAGTACTCAAACATGGCTAGCTGGATCTTCATCCGTTGCCAACTGAGAAATTGCCGCAGGCGATCGCTGGCAATTTCTATACTTATTTGGAGATTTCCTTAAATGGAGGTACTGTACCCCCAAAATCATGGGTAAACCACAGCAAACCAATGCTAAGGCAAGGTCTGACTTGGCTGATTTGGGGGTCTCCCATGACAAAACGGCAACCTCCAATTAAAGTTATATCATACGTCCTAGCTAACCATAGAATTTACCTACACTTATAAACCAACTTGGCTAACTATGGGGCCCCAGCTTGTAAAGGGATTTCCTTTCCCACCATATTTCAGGATCCCTCTCGGGCTGAGGCCATTCCCACGCTGAGGCCTTTTGGTAAAGTTGCCACGATTCAGGGTCAGAAAAGGAGTGTGTCTGAAAATGGGGCCCCGAATGATAGCCATTTGATGTGGGGAAGCACATTTGATGGCAGATGGATGGAATGGGATAGCCATGGATAGCCAATTTTCAGACAAACCCAGCTCTGTTGTTCACCCTGGAAATTCAAGGCTGCCCAGTGTTTTCGGATGTGGTCAGATTCATTCTCCTTGGAGGAAGAAAGCCATGATGTGGTCATTTTTTTATTTTCACATGTGCATTCTTTCCAAAGCTGGGATGAATTTCCCAGTTTTTGGGGGGATTGTCATGCATCCATTTGGGGAAAAAAAACAATGGCATGGGGATACCGCAACCTCGCTGGCTGGCTTATTTCATGGTGAAAAAATCCATCTCTATACATGGATGATGACTGGGGGTAGCCCTATTTTAGGAAGCCCGCATATTCTTGGATCAATACAGGATGGGGCCCCCCAGTGATGTTTGTTGGTTTATAAACCATGAAATAATCCCCAGTAACTATAGTTATATCTACTATAAACCATTGTTAAGCCACTTATAAACCAACTTAGCTATCTTGGGGGCCCCATCCTGTATAGATTACTATGGATTAATATGTTTATTGATCTACTATCGGAATTTACTGTGGATTACGACACGGATTTACTATGGATTTACTATGGATTACTATGATCTATATGGTTGAATATGGATTGATATGGTTACTATGGTTTCTATGGTTACTATGGTTATTTCAGGAAAGCTCGAAAGCTCCATGACTGTAGGCTTTACCGGGACGATTGTAGCTGTTATGTTTGGACTATGGCACTCAGCTACGCAGCTAGGTCCATTTTTGCTGGTATGAATTAACTATTTGCTGGTATCTTCCATTTTTTAGACATCCAAATATCACTTTGTTAATGATATATTCATACATATATATATATATATACATATCATTGTCATATCGCATTATCTTCCATATATGTATACACACATACATACATGCATGCATGCATACATACATGCATGGATCCATCCATGCATGCATACATACATGCATGCATGCATACATACATGCATGCATACATACATACATGGATGCATGGATGCATACATACATGCATACAGTCATACATACATGCATGCATGCATACATACAGACATACAGACATACAGACATACACACATACAGACAGACATACAGACATACAGACATACACACATACAGACAGGCAGACAGACATACACACATACATACATAAAAAAAAAACACAGACAGACATACATAACATATACATCATACATAACATACATAACATACGTAACATACAAACCATGCATAACATACATAACATACATAACCTACATAACATACATAACATACATACATGCACAACATGCACAACATGCACGACATGCACAACATGCACAACATGCACAACATGCAAAACAAGCACAACATACACAACATACACAACATACACACCATACACAACATACACAACATACACACATACACACATACACACATACACACATGAACAGATACCATACCATGCTATACCATACCATACATGACATACATTACATACATTATATACATTACATACATTACATTACATACGTTGCATACGTTGCATACATTACATACATTACATACATTACATACTTTGCATACATTATATACATTACATACATTACATACATTACATACGTTGCATACGTTGCATACATTACATACATTACATACATTACATACTTTGCATACATTACATACATTACATACATTACATACATTACATACAATACATACAATACATACATACATACATACATTACATACAATACATATCATACCATACATTACATACACTACATACATTTCATACAGTACATACATTGCATACATTACATACATTACATACATTACATTCACACACTACATACCATTACTTAACATGACATAACATACCATTACGTTACATAACATTACATAACATTACATACCATTACATAACATTACATAACATTGCATAACATCACATAACATTACATAACATTACATAACATTACATATCATCACTTAACATTACATAACATTATATAACATAACATTACATTTCCATACATGCATACATAAATTATATATATATATCCCATGTATATATCCCATACATAGACTGTATATATATATACCATGTACATATCCCATACATGTATATATATATATAATATTTTGATGTATGCATATATCCCACACATATACATATACACACAAACGTGTATATATATATATATATACATACACACCCCATATATATATATATACACAATTTGGATCATAAATCCATATGTTTTGGGGATGGCTTGACTTTTCTCGAAACCACCTGGGCAAATTTATGAAATTAATGCGAAAAAACATTTGAACGACCGGCTTTGGCAAAATTGGCGGCGATTTTGGGGGCATGGCTATGAAACATGCGAATATCATGGGGATATAGTGGGATAGAGACCATAGGACAAGTCTGATTTAAGCAACAAACATGGGTGGGGTTTCAATGGGATTTATAACTGATTTATGATAGCAAAATTGGTGAAAACGGGTGCCAATGTCACTATGGTTTATGGTACGTATATCTATAGTTAGGTGTGTTTATAAGCCAACAAACATAACTGGGGGTCCCCACATTGTATAGATTATAACAGGAATACAACGGATATTTTTGATGGCCCTACGTTTCAGTTGTTTTTCATGATGTAGTAGCCATGGCCGATGAATAGTTCGATTATTCATGTGTGAAAAAAACAACTTGTGATTTAGCACATTTAGCTATGTTGAATTATCAGAGTGTAGAACCCATATTTCCGATACCCCTATTTTCCTGTACCATCTGTTTTTTATTTTTATTTATTTTTCTTCTCACCGTTTTTTTTTCCTCACCCCAAGTTCTAGTCAGCAGGTAGGCAAGCAAACAATCCCAGGACGCCCAGCAAGTCGAGCAAGCCTAGCAAACCCAAGTCTAGCAAGAACAACAACCAAGCAGACAAACAACAAATAGTATAAATAATATAAATATATATCCCATATATATATATATATCCCAACATGTTTCCCCAGGTCTTGTGGTTCCTGTCCCCTTGGTCTCCCAGTACCCCCAGCAAATTTCAGGCCCTAAGCCCTGAAGCAACCCAGGTCAATCTTAGATGGGTACTTTAATCCTTTAGTCTTTTGGTTTCTAAGATTGGCAATGTATATAAACCCTAGACCAACCTTAGCTAATCATTGAACCAAAAGTAAAAAAACCTATCACATACCTAAAGAAGCACCCAAACAACTAAGAATAAAAATTAAGAAACAACTAGAAACAAACATTCAAAACAAACTTTAAAAAATAGACAGCCAACCCGAACCCAACACTCAGACACCCTTAAGTGAACACCAAAACACGTAGCAATTTCAAGTTTGGTTGCAGGGGAAAGCGACGGAATGGAAAGTGTAATATGTTTTGCACATCTTGATGGTGATGTATCAACCTACATCCGCACAAGAAGGAAGTACTCATGGGAATCCAAGACTGGTTTATATAGTTTTACTTGTCAATCTCAGAGTATTCCCCATCACTGGCAGGTGATATGTCCATACATTCGAATGTTTATTCCCATCACACAAGGTGGTGCTCCCCCAAGTTCTAAATGGGTCAACAAATCCCATGAAAACTATAGATATATCACCAACAAAAAACCATAGTTATTGGACTTATTTGCACCAACTGTTATAATCCCATTAACTATAGATATATCACCTATAAACCATAGTGACATTGGACTTATAAACCAACTTAGCTAACGAACTGGGGCATCACCTTGCAGATTCTGATATCTGATGATATTCCCATTTCACTCATCTCCCTGAAGTATCCCCGCTTGGTCGTTGCCGGTGTTCGCAAACATTTGCAGCTGCGCGAGTTTGCGTGCAAGCATGCGCAGTGGCCGGAACCGTTGTTTTTTTTCTTCCATTCATGGAGATTCATCCATGTTTCGACCATGAAAAGTAGGGATTTTCTCGTGATCAAACATCAAAGCAATCATGATTTTCATGGTAATGAGTAGGGCTTAAACCGACAATAAATCTGGATAAATTCTGGTGCGACCTTACTGATCATGCTGCTAGTAGGTATATAATGGTATATCAGGGAAATTACTGTATCCCAAACTTGTTAAATGGCCTTGCTTTTGGGTTGGTGAATTATGTTGATTCAGCCAGAAGTATTCGCTGAATGTGGGTTTGTCACTAGCGAATACTCCATGCAATGGCCGTTCAAATGGTGAAGTTTTCAATTTTGTTGGGGGGTTCCAGAGTTTAAAAAAACATCTTTTGTAGTGATCAGAGAAAACACATGAAATTTACACGCCCTAACACCATGATTCAGATTGAACAAAAGCCATGGGGATTGAACATCATTCTGGCCATGACTCGGCCATGACAGATCGTTTGCAGGTTTTGGCAGCTCAGTTCGGACGTTCGGACGTCCTTTCGTTGATTTAAATGCGCAGCTTTCGGCTTCTGAAGCGCGACCGCAGTGACCAATAGGGACCATGTTTGGGAAAATGTCCGAGCCGAGCTTTAGGGAATACCCTCTGGTAATGACTAACATAGCTATTGAAAATGGCTATTTATAGTGGATTTTCCCATTAAAAATGGTGATTTTCCATAGTTGTGTTAGTTTACCACAGGGTACTTGAAATGAAACTGGTTTGGACAACATGTTTGGGGGAGAGATTTTGGATCGATGTCATGGGCAGCTAAATGCTGGTTTAGCATAAAAATGGATTCGAAAAATCGAGGTCTGGATTCGAATTTATGACCGCTATGTCAGAAGCGCGTTTTTTTATATTTTTTTTCAGTTGAACATTCACCGGGACTTCATGTGACGGTGGAATCAAACCTGAATATGGATACCTGGATACCTTTTGTTGCAGGACATTTAAAAAGAATGCTGGTTGCCTTCTGAAAGTTTTGAACTTGCTGCTACAGTGACAGTTAGAAACCTGGTCATTTG